GAGCAATGTAAAACTAGAGTCAAATTCCTTCTATGCGTACACATACCTGGCCAATAAATGGGATTCTGATTCAAAAGGTAACAATAAGACACATTTATGTTATGATAATATAATAATTGGATTACAAGCAACAGACTACATGTATATGAACCCTGTCTGAGCCACTGAACCCGGGCTGACCCAGGGCAGGAGAGACGCAGGGCAGCTGGAGAATGAATCACCACCATGTGAATTACATCCGTTGACTTTTTCCCTTTCTGTTGCTGTTTACATCTCAGCATGTGTCCCCCATCTTATTGGAACGAAAGTTGGACAAACACAGGGAAACGCTGACAGATCAGGAGACAGTTTGGAAGAAGCAGTTTTGTTTCAGGAGGCTCAACAGCTGTCCCCATCTGTGCAAAGATGAGACGAACCAAAAGGAGGGAATCCTTACAATTATATCTCGGACGAGTAAACAATTTCAATGATAGCAATTGACTTAGACGTCTCATTACAAGAAAATAGATTCAGTCTTTGACAAATGATAAAACAACTCACTTTGAGTTTTCAAACAAATGCTCAATAATTCTTGAGGCAATTTTTTATATATATAATATAATAAAGAGCTTTTTTTGGGTCAAAACTTATCTCTCTCATGGGAACGTTTGCAGTATGAAACGGTGATTAAAAGAGGAAAATTCACCACTGGGATTAAAAAAAAAAATACCATTCTCAAGTGGGAAAAATGAAGTGAGAGAGGAGATGCAGTAGAGACACATTGCCTCCAGCTAACATGGAAGCAAGAAGTTGACCTTCATTACTTACACCCTTCCTCTCCACACCCCTACCCCACCTTTCTCTTCCTTTCCTGTTAAATTAGATTTTCCCCTGTTGCAGGAGGAGTATTGGGGGACATGCAACAGCGGAGTAGAGGGGGGGTTGATGGATATATGAATGTAAGTCCTGCGGTTGTGCATACGGGGTATCACATTCTGCTATTTTCATTTGCCTCTTTATTGCTCCCAGTTGTTGGGTTAAACAAAATGGGGCCTAAAGAAGAAGAGGGGGGTCCCTCCACCACCACCAATCCTGCGCTTTGTTCCCTGGAAGCACTTTGTTTGCGAGAAATGTCACAGTAGCTAAATCAAGCCGAGCCATGGCTATGAGAAACAGACAGAGCAGATGGAGGATGGAAGGGGGTGTGTGTGTGTGTGTGTGTGTGTGTGTGTGTGTGTGTGTGTGTGTGTGTGTGTGTGTGTGTGTGTGTGTGTTTGTGTGAGAGAGCGACTGTGTGTTGTGTGGAAACCAAAGGTGGTATAGATGCAGGGAGCCTATTGAGATGCGTTTGGTAACATTCGCTGGAGAATTGCTGCTCTAAATCTTTTTGAGAGCGAAAGAATGAGCGGGTAGAAGAGGACAGTGAAAGCTGGAGTCTGTGCATCTGCGGTTAACACACAGACATACTTGAGCTGCAACCAGTAAAAGCATTGATGGAGAAATTGCTCCTAAGCCGCTCAGGTCGATTGCGCTTGTCAGCAGCAGGAACCTGGAATACACCTTCATATATGGATGTGAGGCTTCTGTACTGTATGTGTGCGTGTGAGCTTATTGACATGATTTGACGTTAAGTATGGGTCGCTGGCTACAACATCCCATGTAAAGACTACGAAGGCATCCATGTGTTTGTTTGGCTGAGTCTCAGGTTTTGGACATTCTCACGCACACACACATAAACACACTTACAGTCTTGTGAAGGGGGAGACTGCTAGCTGGCTCTCAGTCAAATTTTGGACCGCATGCTTTCCAGCCTCCACATATAGAGAAGAAGTGAAGGGTTAGCTTGAGATACAGCGCTTCAGGCGAACATGTACACACGGCTATCCAAGTTCAAATGCAGTTCATTCTATGTGTGTGTGTGTGTGTGTGTGTGTGTGTGTGTGTGTGTGTGTGTGTGTGTGTGTGTGTGTGTGTGTGTGTGTGTGTGTGTGTGTGTGTTACCATGCTGTTTCCAGTGAACCTGCATGTGTCCAGTGCTGTTTGTGTGTCCCTCAGCAAGATCTATGCACAGGATGTAGTTTTGCTAACAGTCTGACATTTGTGGAGGTCCATGTTTCTTTCTTTTGGGGTTTTTTCAACACCTGTAACAGTGAAGGACGACCTCCTCATTCAGTGCTTGTCCTCCCATCTTCACAGTGTCTTTTTTTTCCTCCTGTCTGCTCCCCTCTTGGCATCCTCCCATCTGGTTCACATTGTATGAAGCAACCGACCACTCTGAAAAATTGAGCTCCTTGTGTCTTTTAGCTGTGTAACTTTCTTTTGATGTTGATAACCTTTGACCTCAACGGAGAAAGAAGCGAAAGGAAAGATAAATCAAATTATGATACAGCCCAGTTGGCACACACATTGAGTAAAACTGTTTCGCTTAACATATGCGCTGTTTCTATTTTGGTGCACTTGTGTTACATTTTCTGACCCTATATGCAACCTTCCCACGTTGTGGAAGTGTTTACGTCTGTTTGTGTGTCTATACCTCATGTGTTCACTGCTCTCTCCTGAAATAGGAATCTGAACTATTTCCACACTTTATGTACACATACACACACACTCTGCTGTCCACTGCTGCTGTTTTTCCCATTAAATCCTCCAGTCAATACACTCCTATATCAGCTTGTCATCACCCACCTCTACTCCCCCTCAACTCTGCCACTCAGGACCAATCATACTCCCACGTTTCAGTCACTGTGACGCCCGCTCCTCCAGCGTTTGGCGACCGACCTGTCAGCATGCCGACGGCTGCCTTTCATGTCTCAAATAAAGGTAGAGCAGGCATGGCCCCTCGTGACCCATATCTTATAATGCATATCCCTGCTTGTGGAGGCACTTTAAATGGCCAATGACCATGTTGTACAAGGAGTTTTACAGGATTGTGAAACCATCCATCCATCAATTACTGACTTCATTTGTCTCTGCCATCTTTCCTCCTGGACCCTCCTGTCATTTTGAACTGCGGTATATCTTCTTCTCTGTCTCTCCCATTTCATCTTCGCATCCCGCCACTCCCTTACACATTCCTCTTTCAGTTTGTCCTCCCCGTCTCCTCCCCTCTGGGCCCAGGGAAATGCTCCAGCCCTCTCTGTAGAGGCCTTGGCCCCCAGCAGAACGGCTCCACGCTGTTTATGGCAGCGGGGGCTGAGGGCAGGGGAAGTAGAGCCTACTATGGAATATGGAGACTATTAATATAAATGCTGCGGCTGGCAGATTGAGTTAGCTGGCATCTGTGTCCGAGATTTTGAAGGTGTAGAGGTGTTAAATGATTAAAATTGTTCAGACATAAATTTTAAATGAGCATCAGTAGGTGCACACAGCTGCACTTATTCTCCATTGTTATATTTAAATGGTTCATTCTCATTGCCAACAGAGTCTGACGGCAACTACAAATGGCAAACTGAATCAGATAAAGAAACTGTTAAATTATACTTTTAATACTTAAGACTTGGCCAGTCTTCAACCTGAGCACAGGCAACAGTTAACTCTTTTTATGCCATTTCTTAAATCCTTCATTTCCAAAGTAATTAATAGCGTATTGCTGTTATGTAAAGAAGATGAAAGTGGGAGAGGTAGACACGAGAAGGAGGTGGAGGAGCATGATTGAGCTCTCTTTGAAAGGGTTGGCAGAGTCAGGAAGTGATTAGGGCACTACAATAACCCCAATAATGACAATAGGGAAAACATGTCTGCAGCCACAACCACTTAGCATCAGGAACAGCACACAGTATGGTTCCTATTTCATTACGAGAGCAGGACTGAGTGTGGGAGGATGGGCACATGGAGAGAAGTAAGGTGTTACCAACAAGAAGGTTTTGGGCCACGGAGAAACACGCTAAAGGTGCTGTTGTTACTGGTGTCGAGCTTTTTTGCCTCACATGGGACATATGCAGTTCAGAAAGTTGATGATGGCAGATTTACCTTTTAAAGGTCTTACGTAATTTGTGAAACAATGGGTCTTTGATTTCACACAGAGAAAAGCAACTTCTCGACTAGATCTTGTGAGTGGTTTTGAATATGTGGCTACATTTATCATTTATTGTTTTTGTTTCGTGTTGGACAAATACACCAAAGAAGCCTATGCTGAAGTCGCTCAAATGTAAACTTTGAGCATCCAGGACCAGCTCCTTTGCGGTATATAAATACCACACCATGGGTGCCCCAGTCCTCAAGAGAGGTTTTTCTAACAGTTGAACAGCACAAGTCAGAGTATCACTCTTACAGCTTCAATATGTGGAGAAATCCAAAGCGTGACAGACCTGCTGTGCCTTGCTACATTTGCTAAGCTAAAGAGAAGGGGTGGGCGATCTTTTCTGAACCTGTGATTATTATTTTTTGTATAGTCAGTTGCACCATCTCTTAAAACAACACCTCTGTTAAATTACCAGGCAGACACTGACGCAAATCAGCGGCAGTGTAGAAATGATTCATGGTCTAGTAGCAGCATGAGGTCTGACTCTTTGCGTCGGCCCTCTCTCTGGCCACACCATCTCCTCGTTTCTCTACAGCCCTCCTGCTATTTTTCACAACTTTACCAGTCCTCTCCATCAACAGCAGAAATTGTTTTACCGGAAAGGTGGTGGTACCAGCTGCATCGCTGCAGGGTCAGAGGAAGGTGGCTGGACGAAGCCCAGGAAATGAGGAATTGGCCGTATTCAGCCAGAATGAGGGGAGAATAAATCTTAAACACGCCTAAAGGGTCGTGTTTGTTCAGTCTGAAATAATATTAATTAATATAATAATCATACAGTATGTTTGAGTCTGACTTTGTTTTGTCTTCTAGTGTCTGTATCTGTTCTTACATCACTTATCCACGGACATTTTAGTGTATCTGTGCCAGCTCACACAAACTTAATGCCAGGCACAACACATGGCCACCAGCAGTTAAACAGCAAGTGATGCTCCGTTGTTCTGTATTCGTCCCTTCAGCACTGATTTGGAGGATTTACTGCTCTGCCTGTGTGTTTTCACAGGGCCTCCAGGGAAGCGTGGAAGGATGGGAAGAAGAGGGGAACCTGGTAAGTGACAGCCCACCACCTGCTTTGTTTGTTTATTTCTCCTTTCTCTCTTTTCCTGGAAGACACACTATTTCTTCATCTCCTTCCTCTCTCTCTCTCTCTCTCTCTCTCTCTCTCTCTCTCTCTCTCTCTCTCTCTCTCTCTCACTTGCTCCCACACTCTCTCTCTTTTCCTGGGTGACTGGATAAGTTCGAGGGCTGGTAAAAGCAGTGACCCATGAGTCAGGCCGGTGGATGATGGGCCGCAGTTGACCCTTCTCCCTGTCCATTGCTATTTGCACCGACACAGCGCTAACCTTGGCCGTTTGTGGTTGTTCTAACTTTGCCCAGATGTCAGTCGTTCTCGCTGAGTGGTAGCAGCTGCAGTAGTATGGGCCTAATGAGACTCTCCCTTGCCAACATCACTACCCACCATTATTGTGTTGAATTTTTTTTTTTTCCCATGCACACCGCAAAACACTCATCGTGGAGACCAAAACAGTGCAGGGACATAACTCTTGTTACACAAAACTTTGTCATGACAGATAGAGCGGATGTTCTACGAGTTTGAGTCACTTTCGTTTTGGATGGTTTTTATTAAGTGTTGACTCCACCAAATTGTGGTGCGACACTGTTAGACGATTTTATCAAAACCTGCATGACTGTAGTTGTTCTGCAGGATATGTGTCAGATGGGAAAACTTCTAAGATGCTGGTGATTCATTGTTGTGGATTTAGTAGATGAGATCTGTTCCTGTGAAGATGATGACTAATGACCAGCAACCTTTATTGCTGTAATTTCCACACTTGTTATTTATAATGTATACAGTATAATGTATTTTTAGCTTGTCTTGATTTATTTGACATAGAATATTACATATAGGCAGATGTAAAGTTTCATATGCTGTACAGCCAAAGTGTTTTTTGTTTGTTTGTTTGTTTTCTGTTATATAACAATAATAACTCTAAAAAAATTTTATAATTGTCTTATTGTCAGATGTAAACCAACAATATGTGAGTCAGTCTTTTAAAACCTTCAGACTTTCCCAGCCTGTTTGTGGCTCTCAGCTCTAAGCCCATTGATTCCTTCTAAAGATGAAAATCTTTAAATACAGGTCTCAAATATGTAGTTCTATTTTCAAAAAGGCTCAGTCATTTCCTATAATGCTGTCGTTTTTAGCAAGGATTACTAAAACAGGGAGTTAAAATTGTATTTGCAGAGTTTGATTATTGGTTGTGATTATTTACGGCAGCATGACGGTGTATGTGGGATGGACACAGTGCAACGATGTGGCTCACTGATGTCTTTTTAATCGTTTTTGGACAACAATGGTGGCTGGCTTTTGGTCTTTTCATGGAAATTGTTGACAATAAGAAAAATATAGAATATCTCCAGACTTTTCCTTTAAATCTCCATATCCTCCCTACCATTCAACTACTTCTTAATCGGCATAGATTACGGAAATCTCGTAAAAGTTCTGTGATCAGGCGACCACCAGGATGAGTAAACGACTTTGTTTTTCATCCGGGTGGTACAAATTTCCAGCCACTTGGTCTTTTGGAGGATTATCTTAACGGGAATGCTCGCTGTTAAGGTTTCGCCCAAGATGGGACATTCATTGGCTCTTCGTGGTCTCTATCTGAAAAGGATGATGTGATCCTGTTTACGTTGTCTCTTTTCTTGTTTACTTTTGCGTATTCACATTGCAGCCTGCGGGGGTAGGTGGCACAGAGAGGCTGTTGCGCCATCCTTCTGTCGAGGATGGCTTTTTTTTACAAGACCAGAAGAGGTTTTCCCCTTTTCTATCAGAGAAACAAATGAGAGTGGAGGGAAGAAACAGAAACACAAACCTGAATAACAGGAAAGAGGGCAGACAGGGTTGTTGAGCTTCTGTCGCCTTGTCTCCTTCCTCAACTCTCACTATTATTTTTCTGTTTGGTCTTTTACTTATTTTGTGTCTCTGCTCAGTTTACTTCTTTCTCTCTCATTCTCTGTCTCTTTCTTTCTCATTAGTCTCTAAACTCGCACACACCTGTCACAAGTTCAATGGTTAAAGCTGGCCTTACTGCGTGGCTCTGTAGCCAGTGTGCATTTGTTTACCCAACTGTCTGGCCCAGGAGGTCCTTGTCCTGGCGTCTAGACACAGCTAAACATGATTGACTAGGTCTTCATGCCTCATAAACCCCAACACCTCACTGTTCTTCTTTCCCTTACACCTTGTCACCCCAGCTACCTTCAGTTCTTCATCCCTTTCTACTCCTCTTGTCCCAAAAATGCCCTTTCCCTTGAATTAACAGCAAACATCTAGGCTTGCATAGATTCTGGTCACGTTAGGACTTTTTGTATGTTTAAATAGTAACACAACACCACAAATATCCCACTTTTCCCCAGAGGGAGTCTGTTTTCAATCTTGAGTTTATGTAGATGTTTAGTGTTGCATCCATGTTGATGAGCTGTCTTGTGACAGAACTGCAGTGGTGGCGTACCTCCAAATCATACCATAGACTGTAATTTTGTTAACAATCACATAGAGCTTCGTGATTGATTTAAAATTTAGATCAGATAAATTTAAACCAATCACTAATGTAAAAGCTTTTTAATGGCAAAATGATATACTCACTTTGTAGGGGTTTGGGGTGGTTTATTAGTGCCCTCGGCCTTGGACTTTTAAGAGAAGGGTTTTTTTTATAAGAATATTCCATTAAAACCAAGCCCTTTGATCATTACTGTTGTTTTTGGTTAGTCTAAGTATGAAAAGCTGAGTTTACTTTTTGCTGCTGAGGCTCAACATCAGAGCTTTTCAATCAGATCTGAAAGACTGCCCCGGAGAAATCTCGGAGACATCTTTTTTTTAATATACTTGCGCATTTTCCAGCACAGCCCGACCTTTTCACTGCCTGTTTGTCCTCCATCTCATACACCCCATATCTTCTTAGGAAACAACGTCTTGACATGACTTCATATACTAATGCGAAACATGACCCATTATCCAGAAGTCTGTTTATCATAACGGGTTCACCACAAACTCCACTGGCAGTGGCTGTAATGAGCTTTTTCTGTACCATATTTAGGTGGTTAATTACAATCATCATCTAACAAACCACATTGCATGTGCAGTTTTTTTGTTACGCACCACTGTTCTGAGGAATTGATTGCTGCACAAACCAGAGGTTACTATAACTCACACGTGCTGTGCTTCATGTGTTACTGGACATTCATTTTCTAATGTCTGATTTCTCTTTTTCTGTTGCAGGACCTCCAGTAAGTACAATTTCCTCTCATCCAGGTAGTATTAAAATCAACTAATAACCAGCTGAACATCCAGTTGTTACAGTGCTTCCCTTTCCCATTAAACATGCAAAAGCACTCACATATATACATATATTATCCTTCACTATACAAACTATGGTTTTCTCCAACAGCAGTAAAACAGAGAGACACACAAACTGTCACAGGCTCACTCACACATGTGCATCCACAGAGCGCGGCAATAAACGGACCACCTAGGGAACTGTGGGTGTGTGCATGTGAGTGTGTGTGCTTGTATCTGTGTGTGTTTCATGGTGACTTATTAGCAGCGTGTTATCCTCCTCTGTGGGACTATAACTCCTGCTGACACAGGCACACACACACACACACACACACACACACACACACACACACACACACACACACAGCAGATAAAATACACACATACAAAAAGCCATGTACTAAGTGGAGACTGTTTCTGCCTGTTTGGATTTGTTTGTGAGCAGCATCTCTGATTTTATTTTGAAAGTATTTATTTTAATATTTTGGTCACATGTGGCACAGATCAGATATGCAGAGGGGTAAATGCTCCACAGCACACCATGACACTTTTCCATAAATATCGGACCGGAACAGCGTGTACAGCTGACATTTTTTAAATCCATGGAATGTTTTATTGTAGAAAAACTGCCTGTGCAGAAGGTTTACGGCAAGTGTGCATGAAATGATGTATAATTTGTCTTCCTGGACACACACAAAGTCCGACCTCAAGCCCATAAAGTCAAAGACAAGGTGTGGTAATGTGAAGTCACCTGCTACTGCACTAAGTCTGTCGTTACACTCAGTCTAAGTCAATGTACATGGCAACGTAATCAAGTGCCCAAACGATCAGATACAGGCCAAAAATGTTTAAACTGGAACAAAACAGAAGTTGTGGTGTAAACAAACTTCACCTAATGTTTATTATTTCCAGCTTCAAAGTCCATATAGAGTCATTTACTATCATTTAATACTTGTCTCCTTTAGAATAAAGTGTGCCGGGTCATGTGATGAATTAATATACACTACTCACAAAAAGTTAGGGATATTCGGCTTTCGGATGAAATTTCAGAATGTACATAACATGCACTATAACCTTTCCAGGTGATCTTAATTTGACCGTCTACTTAAATACCCTACTTTCATGATATAATATCACTGTAGCATCAACTTTTTACATTTTCCATAAATTTCACCCGAAAGTGGAATATCCCTAACTTTTTGTGAGTAGTGTATATATATATATATATATATATACAGCGTGTATGTTGTGTTGTGTGCAGCTGTTGGTTTCTGTTCTAACCTGTTTCAATGCTTCATGCTTTAATCTCTAACCTCACCAGGGCAAATCTGGACGGGATGGATACCCGGTAAATTTGATTTGTTATTTTTCCTGTCACTCTTCAATTCACCCAATCACATCTCCTTTTTCTCTTGATTTTTTTCAGCTTTATTAGGACGTTTTTCCTGTTTTTCCTTCTCTTTTGCCTGTGAAGAAAATTACATTTACTCTAATTGTTGCCTCTTCATGCAACCTTTTGCATTTGCTCATCACCAGTGAAGTATCCTGCCCCATGACTGAGAAGTGACTCAAATACAAAGACAGTTGTATTTAAACACAAGCAGACTTAGGCTGCCCAGATGACAGTGTTTTATTTCCCATAGGTAATTTGAAACATTACAACTCACTGACTGAAGGCAGAAAATAGTGACATAAAGAATATTTAGTGCATGTGTGAAAATGAGAGCAGTAAACGTAAAGATTATCATCAGTAAACATAAACCACAACAGCGTAAACCATACCAATGAAAACATGAAACATTCTTACACAAGGCACAAATCACAGCCTCCAGCTCTTAAACAGGGTTTACTAATGTTTGAATAATCTAATGTGTGTACATCCAGAAATACTGAATGCAAAGCAGATTACTGATTTCCCCCATGAGGCATACCACAAGACTGAGAGCCAGTTCTGGTGTTATCCAGAGATATAGTGGCCTCTTGTGGCCGGTCAGACTACCGACTTTCTCAACAACTGCTGAGATAAAAACAGCTCATGGCTGTCCTGCTGATTTGTGGTTTGGCCATCGTCAAATTCTCATCATCTAATACAGACACACACCCTAATCATTCAAGAGCTCAGCTTGTGTGACCAGATGGATTCATAAGAACTGGATGGCGTGCAGTTCATAGGAAGCATTAGCATGTGTGAGGGCCTATGTGTGAGCGTGTTACATGCTCCGTGTGACCCCCTACGTCTGGTTGCCACAGCGACCCACTGCAGTCGCCCCGGTGTTGTGTTCCACGGCGTCTTGACCGTTGCGTTGCTGTGTACGTTGTCTCATTGGGAAGGTTTTTTTTGGGGAAGTTCATTACCCATGGGGCTCGCTCTCAGTCAGATTCCCAGTCTGCCTGGCACTGCACAGCCCTCCTGACGGGAAATGCCTGCTGCTAATTACACACAGGTGGACCGAGCGCACAGAGAAGTGTGTGCACATTTGTGTTTGTTTGCTTGTGACTATTCATCTATGTCACCGTCTTCATTAGAAATCCTAAAGTTGTGGCACATTGTAGTGTTTTTACCTTTTTAATGAAATGATGTAATGTATTACTTTAAGGATGCTTAATCTGGGTAATCCTTCCCAGTCTTGTAAGCATAATGAAATGAATCCTTAAACCTCTATAATTACATAGATGAAACAATATTATAACTGGACAAGTCTGTTTGCTAAGTGTAAGAGGCAGCTTCCTGTTATGATGCATACATAGAGGTATGATGATGGAAGCTGTGTGTCTGAGGTTACAGTGAAATAACAGTAGATTAATCATACTGGCAACTAACATGGACATCACATTATTTCATGTAGCAGCAACAGAGATGATCAAGTTTCAAGCATTGAAGCTTATAAAGGGCCATTCTTCCTGTTGGGTAGGAGTGTTTGTGTATCTGTGTCCATATGTGCGGATGTGTGTGAACTCCATCCAACCACCTAGTTTATGTAGATCTCTGAAACAAAGGCCAGAACTGTGGAAGTGGTCAGAGGCTCTGTGCGTGTGCGTATGTGTGTATGATACCTTTTCACACCAACAAAGTATCTCACATGGGCCGTTCATATGGAGAGGGCAACACAAATGAGTCAAGTCAGTTTCCGGAGAACTTGTGTGGTGCCAGTGACTTGTGCCAACAAATTTTCTTTCTTTATTTTTCCATTGTTAAAACAAACAGCTAGATTGCTTTCAAGCAATTTTTTTTCTCTTGCCCTCTCTCACCCTTATTATGTCTCCATTCAAGCCGTTAACCCTCAGCAGGCTAGATTCTTTAATTCTGTGAGTGTACACATTAACACATAATTTAACAGACTTAACATAACAATTGCAAAGGTGGAAACTAAGTATAGTTACGCAAGTGCTAAATTTGAGGACAATTTTGTGGTGCTTGTACTGTTCTGCTGCTTTATCTTTCTACTCCACTGCAGTTCAAAGGCAAATACTGTACCTTATCCTCTGCAGTGTCTCAGGCAGTTTCTCATTACTAGGAATAATATTACAGTAATAATATTACTTTCTCCAGTAACTAGTGTAACTAATTACTAATACATTTCAGGAAAAATATTACAGATACCCCCCCCAAAAAAAAAAAATATTTACAACATAACAACTTTTGTTAACACCCCCCACTTTTTTAAGATCTAACAATTCAATCACATTCTTGGATTCATTGTTGTAATCGTGGAGGAAACTAGTTTGGAAGATCGTAATGCTGGAAACATTCCCGTTACTTTGATTTAAACAAACAAAAACTCAATTTTAGGGAAAAGGGGCACAATTACAATTTTGTGGGGGGTATCAGAAAAGTAATATAACTAGTAGTGTAACTAACTACTGTTGGCAGGGAGTAATAAGTAATTACTTTAGAAAAGAGTAATACATTTATTCTTTTTGAGGAAGTAGCCCAACACTGATCCTCCGCTACATTTATTTAATAACTTACTTAGTTACTTTGCATAAGATAAGTGATCCACAAGCTCTTAGCAGCGTATAAAATAGTTAAAATCATCATTAAAGTGACAAACACACATCAATGATTATAATCCAATAATGTAGTACACATTATTCTGAAAGGGGCATTCTGCATGATGAGTACTGCTACCTTTGGAAGTACATTTTGATGCTAACTTTTACTTTTTGATCAGATCGCTTCTTCTACCACTGTGACCACTGTGACCAACAATTGTGGTGTTTGCCAATGTGTGAGCGTGCATGTGCTATACTTCTTTCAGGTGGCATACACATGTCTCACAGTCGTTTATCAGACTAATGTATGCAGCAGTCCGCTTCCACTGAAGCATTTCTAATATGATAAACACTGTTGATGACAAGCAGTTTGTGTGTTTCTCAAGAATAACTCTATGATAAGTGTGTGTGTGTGTGTGTGTGTGTGTGTCTTTGTGCGTGCTGATGTATGTTTTCTCTCCTCATATAACCCCTGTCACTTCTTCCTCTCATAAATCACAGGCGAAGGGTTTGAGTTTCAGTAAAGGGCCTTCCCGCTGTCAAAACAGTCAAAATCAGACAGACTGACAGATCAGTGCAGAGGGGTAAACACACACCCACACACACCAGTTGATTATTCATATGCGCAGTCACCAGCGTGTCCAGACACTAGCGTGTTTATACGAAAGTGCCAGTCTGTGACAGACAGCGAACCTCGCTCAGCAGAGAGAAGCCAAGGCCTCCATTGTTCAGCCTTCCAGGCCTCTGAGTGCAGATTAAAGCCAGACAGTCACCCAACAACATGTCAGTAATTTTCTGTCCCAAACACACAGCTCTCTGGTATGCTTTATTGTGCTCTTTGGTTCTGGATGCAGCCACTATTTTTTTTTTTTTTTTTTTTTTTTTTAAAGAAGCAAATGTCATGTATCACAAATTATGTTCATGTAGCCTCCGACATGAAGCGGAGTTTTGTCCCTGTGGCAACATGAAAGCAACTGGAGGAGGAGGGACTGAGAGAAATTCAACAGAGGGTTGGTGGATCACTGCAAGAGAGGAAAAGATAATGACATCAAAGGATACAAGAGAAGTGAGGAAAGTAGAACCAGGAGGGAGGAAAAGGGTCTCTCACTCTCTATGTGTGTTTGCTGCTGAGACGTCTGCTATGATGTGCAGACACCAACTTTTCACGCCGCATCCTCAACAATTACTCCCTACTGGATAATTACCAGTCTGCACCATAGGGAGTACAATAAAGACAGCAAAGACACCCCTCGCCCCTGTTTCATTGGGATTAAGACAAACACACACACGCACACAGGCACAGACACAAACATATACCCTCCTGCAGGCCAAGTTATTTTCCAGAAATGTGTTTAAAAGCCATCTAATTGGTGGGAATGCTGAGTCTAAACTTTTTTTTTAACAGCTGAGGGACGCTGCAGGACAAGATGGCGATGTAGACTAGGAATACACACAAAGAACCACACACATAAAAAGGCATTATTTCATTTTCCCCCACATTCACTTGAGGTTTTGGTGGTAATTTCAGGCCTATTTTCTCACTTTTTCTCAACATTCATCTCCCAGGTTTTTTTTTTTCCCCCTCCTTCAATCCTTCGTTTTTCCTTTTCCTTTTTATTCTGCGGCCTGCCTGATCCATTTGCGGTATGAGATGAGGAGATTTTAGTAGTGGCCTTTTTTTGTTCACCCTGTTCTATTTTTATTTGAATTCCAGCTCTTTTTTCCCACCTTGCAAACTGATGTGTACTGCAGGTTTACCCCACTGGAGGTACAGTACAACAATGCAGCTATACAGAAAGAAAAGCACACAAAAAGGGCCACACATCAAAATCCAATTTCCCCTGGTTCCTGTGTTCCTGACTCTTATTCATATAAACCCCTTCTGGCCAATTTTGCCCTTAGTTTCCATTAAAAGTTCCCTGGAGCCTCTGTTGCGGATTTAAGTAAGGCTCATATATTATACATATCTTATCTTATCAGTCATAGAAGAGCTTCTTGAACTGCTATATTGTTGGTTGAATTATTCCTCCAGATAGCTGTAGTAGTTCTGGGTCTTATTTTATTCCATGTTGGATAGCAGTTAAGTAAGTATAAAGGGCATAGAGATTACTGGTGTACTATACTGGTGTATGCAAACTGTCAGCTGCCAAATATTAGATACAGGCTTTTATTGCTGAGAATAAATCTCCTCTCTCACGCACACACACACACACACACAGCAATAGTACCGACAGTTCACAGGCCACTGTGTGGCTTGTTAGCAGCCATAAATCAGTCTGTTTTTGCTCCAGTTCAGACTTCTCAGCAGCCAATGACCTCACCATGTACACCTCTTCTACTCATCCTGACAAGTCTTGAAGGAGCCGGGCCCTGATAAACGCTGCCAGATGCAGAGATATGACTGCATATACACACACAGGCACACATGTCTACCAATGCATATCGAGAGACATGGACACAGATACGCGGGCAAACTCACTGGGACATTTATGGGCTCACACTTGAATGCAGGACATGATAAAGACAGCACGCTGCGTTTAATAGAGTGGTGAAACTACAACCTGTCCTGTTCTGTATGTAGCATCCAGTAAAGGAAATGCATTACATCCTTACTCTTCACACTCAACTCAACTTTAGACAGTCTTAGTGGAATTATTGCCGTCCGATTGGTCCCAGTCATTCGTTCCACCCCACGTCTCACCCACCTACTGCGGATTTCACATGGAGCCCTTAATCAGAAATAGCCTCAAAGGCTTTTTGCTGGACTTTTTATGAATCTCTTTTATACAGACTAACCACTTGTGTTTTTTTGAAGCGAGTTTATAGCCATGCCATCCCATTACAAGGCTAAAGAGAGGCAGCATATGATCACATGAACTATTAATAAGAGCAGCTCTAAAGCATCATTCCCTCCGTCCTGCATCTCCTCTCCTCTCCTCTCCTCTCCTCTCCGTCCTTTATGTGCCTACTGTCCATTCATCAAAGCAGGCAGCGATGACACTGTGGTAGGTTTTCACTACAGGACCTCAGGCTGGATAGCACCCACGGGGCTGGTAAAGCAGGGAGATGAAGAGAAAAGCCCAACGTATGTAAGCCATCCAAGGCCAGAGAGAAGACCATTGTTAATGATGGTTCAGTCTGCAGAGCCACCAGAACTGTGAGGGGTGGAGCAACCCACGACTCAAGGGACCCTGTAAAAACTGTTAGCTTAACATCGAGTATGGTCGTTAAGGAGGAGGAAGTCAACATTAGCCTCTACCACATACATCACATTTAAGTGTTTTTGGAAAGTTTGATCCAAGAGCCAACTGTTCCTTTTTGTTTAAGTAAGGATCTAAAGATTTGTGCCTTTGAACTGAGCGCTTTGCAGAGGAGCTTCAATGACTGCTCGGCTGTTTTTATTGAGGTAAACAAAGTGGACAACTTTAACTGCTGTTTCAGCACTTGGGTGAAGTTGGATAGAGACTTTAAACATACTTAACTGCCCGTTGGATTATCTCATCACCGCAAACATAGAGAGACACAGTAGATGTTGTGTGGAAGATTAATCCAGCTGGACCAAATCCACTCACAGTCTATCAGGTTGGACACCACACTCTAAATCGTAGAATAATTACAAACCAGTACCACCTGGAAACTTCTTAATATTGGAGTCTTACGTGTGCACACAAACACACATGCAGTTACATGGGGCAGGATATACATTGAACATTTGTATAAAAAGTTAAAAAAGCTCTTTCATCTTTTTCCTCCTTTCTCAGTTCCAATAAGTGCAGCTGCTTCTCTCATTTACTAACTTTTTACTTTCCTCACTTTATCTGTTTGTCTTGCCAAATCCACTTGACTGTTTTTCCCTAAGCTAAGATCATTTACATTGTTTGCTGAGTGATACGGAGACAAGGCGTAAATATTATGAAATACTAATAAATAACAGTCGGCTTATGATATATTGAAGGCGGCAGATAGTTTTGCTGGTGGATATAAAACAAATATTGTATTCACAATCATGTTTTCATTCACAGCAGACTTTTGTTTTTGAACTCAGTTATGAAAGGCACATTTTTTTGGAAATGAATACACTACAATACACTTATTTGCTTTCTTGCTTGAAAGAGAGAAGATTGACACCACTTTCATGTCTGTAGGCTTAATACAAAGTTAGTAGAACACCAGCGCCTCTAAAGTTTACTAATGAACACATCTTGTTTGTTTAATCTGTACAAAAACTGTAAAAACTACACTTTTCTGTGGGTTTTATGTTTGGTCGGTATTGGGTGGGTTATGGACTATTCTTTTTCCTGTCACACTGATTATATAACCGTTTCATGGCTCTAGCCTTGTGCTCAACTTACAGACATGAGAATGGTATCTCTCCTCATCTATCTCTTGGCAAGAATGTGAATAAGCATACTTCCCAAAATGGCAAGCGATTCATTTAAAGGTTTTGTGTCATCATGACTCCCAAGACCTTTGCATTTTTTATCATTTATCTTTATCTGTCTTCCAACAGGGTCCACTTGGCTTGGATGGGAAACCAGTGAGTATTCCCATAATCAAATGTGTAAAACATGCTTTAAGTGACTGACAGTAGTTTAATTTTAACTCTTTGTTTTTCTCCTCTCAGGGTTTACCAGGTCTCAAGGGAAGCCAGGTACACCATCACATACATGCTGTCGTGTTTTGGTTTGATATTTAGGTTATCTACACTAAAGCAATTCAAATCAAATCCAGGCGGGTATTTGGCCTATAAGACAGGTGATGGTTTGCTAAACTTCATCAATCATTTTTACTGTTCCCGAGGGAATGTCGCAAGTGAGTAAAAACCCCATGGTAGCCATCTTGTTTCGTGTTCCACCTCTTAAGTCAACCCAGGGCTCAAAGCCACAGGGGAGTCATGGCTCAACTGAATCGAGTGCTGAAATCCCCTTTGCACTTCACCTCTTGAGTCCCATCCATCACCCTTCCCCTGAAACCCTGCTGCACTCGCAGACACACCCAGGTGTAGCGTGGAAACAGGCAAGGCAGAGCGAATGGGTTACACACCAGTGAGAAAAGTGAGAGAGAGAATAGAGTTTATAACCTCTACAGAGGCTCTTTAAAAAGTAATTATTTTACCCTCTAACCCCCCTTCTCTTTGGTCACTTTGCCCATGAGAGGGACGAGTCATCTGCTGAAAAGTAAACCCCTCACAGCATAAAGAGAGCTGTTTGAAAAGTTCTTCTCCAAACACCATTAAGCTGTTTTTTCCTGCAAGAGGAGACTTCAAGCTGGGTCTGTCCTTTAAGAGGACTCTCCCCATCACCAAGGGTCTGCCGTAAAACCCTGGCAGGTGTGACACAGACCTTAGAGTCGATGTGTGTGTGTGTGGGGGGGGGACAGGAGAAGGACAAAAGCGGTAAACCAATAAGATTAATGTGTTGATAGATGATGGCCAGGGGGAGTTGTAATACAGAGGGCTATCACAAGTAAGTTCAAGGACATTACCATAAAGTAAACTAAACTAAGATAAGCACAAATTTATAAAGATTTGTTAACCATAATAAACAGAAACCTCTTGATAAAGAAATTGGAGCTTTCAAACACACTGTGGTCTTCACAGTGGATGGAAGTGGATCTTGTGCTAAGATTTTTTTATTTGTTTTTTTTTTGCTATTTCCAAGGTGAACCTTTAGTCTTCACACAAACTTGTTGCCTATTTTTAAAATGACATCACTAATACACGCTGTTGTTTTTGTGTAAAAATGTAAATAGCTAAATATTAATGTAAAATCACATTTTTATTTTACATAATACCTACTGCAAACATAGACAATATGTGTACTTTTACTACTTCATATTTAAAAAAAATATTCCTGCCAAAAACACTACACTACACTACTTATTAAAACTAGGGTAAAAGTATGAAATAAAAATCTAGAACTGAACATTTAATATAAGATATATATATATATAAAAGTCTAACTAAAACTCCTTAACAGCCAATTTTTTTCAGTTTCCCCTTTGAAGGACCACTGTGTAGGATTTACTGGCCTCACCGAAGGCGACCTGCAGTGTCTGTAAATAAAAGCTGTTTCATTCTACAGTAACAAAAACACAACAATACATTCCAGTTAATTATACACTAATGGAAACATGCGTATAAATATTTGATTCCATTTTAGGTCCTCCTAAATGTTACACCTGGACCTTTAAGTACTTTAAGGATCTTACTTCCTCTGATACTATCATATTTATAGTCTTCTATCAGCTTGTTCCATCTATTCACTGAATCGGATGTTTATAGTGAGATAAATATCTAAACACAACAACTCTATGTTTTTAAGACTGCATCCGAATCAAATCTAAATATTTTCAATACTGCATCATTTTATACACATTCTATGTGACGTTTTCGCCATTTTTGTCTCTTTAGAAGCTTTGAATAATAAGTAATATAATAATAATAATAATAATACGTTTGAACAGTATTTGACTAGACTGCGTGAGTTTATACAGGGAACAAGAGGCTAAACTGTAATTAAAATCTATCAAAAACTCCCCACTGATTATACACCTACAGGAGTAGAAGTAGTCTGTTGTGTTGTCACTTAAATTAAACCGTCCTCCTCCTCCAGTGTCTCCTTTCCCCGAACTGAAGAAAGGAGAGAGCAGTGTCGGAGATAAGCTGCTGCCTGTCATCATGTGGCCAGTCACATTAACAAACTGCTCATGCTCTGCACCAGACCCCCTCTTCACTCTCGTACTCCTGAACACAATTAGGGCTTCGGTCCAGAGAGAATGTCTGCCAGACAGAGAAGACATGAGGAAAAGGGGGAACACATCAAAGAGTGATGCTTCAAGGCAGATCTCATTGCAGATTTAGAGACGGGAACTGAATAAAAGCCGAATGAGGGCGAGGAGTGTGTGAAATGCAGTTTGGGATGAGTGAAAAGAACAGGCTGTAGAGAGAATAGAGACATGAAAACGTTTATAATAAAGGGTGATTGGGCTGTAAGAGGTAAGATCTGCTTACTAGCTGTTTAGAGAGACAGTTGCTGTGATCAGAGACAGTTGGTGGCAGGTCTCCATGTAGTCCCCTCTGCCTGTCACAGTCACATAGTCAGACTGCGGTTTGCGGTGCCGCCACACTCGGGGGTCCTTGTGCCACTGAGATAGACAGAGAGATGGACAAGGGCACAGCACAGCCTGACGGGCAGGGATTAGCTAATCTGTGGGCCTGGTGTTCATAACATCAAACTGTCCAATGCACAGTGTGACTGTGTGTCAGTGTCTCACATACTATACATTAGTGCACAGGCCTGTGTTTTTAGTTAGTGTTTCTAGCATTCCTCGTCAAAAGCATCTTAAGAGTTTCCCCTCTGAGAGAAAGACTGGTGGAGGAACAAAGGAACAAGTTTCCCCTTTCAGTTTTATCTTACAGCAAAACAGTTTTTATCTCCCAAAGAGAAAATCTTAAAAGAGATTCTCGCTGCATGTCATGTGGTCTTCTTATTGTGAAATATTCTCAGACAGACGTGACTTGTGATTGAGCAGTCTCCATGGCACCACTGCATTAAGTAGTATTACTGCCCTGCCTTAGCATTTGATTGAATGCTCCCCTCTAGAAGCCATTTGAAGATGTATTGTACTATGATGTATGTTGCTCATATGATAACTGATTTATCTTGACCAACTGTCTCCTATTATCTCCTCCCCCCTACAGGGACCAGCTGGACCCAAGGGAGAAAAGGTATGTAATTCAATATGGATTTCAACAACCCTACTAGACAAGTCAATGAACTGTATGGATCTATTTCTCGTACTCATTTGCAGGCAGACGGTTTCAGAAAGACACAAATACAGGCACACTACACACAACCTTACAGGTGTTCTCTCCATCGCCCTCCCACGTTCACGTTTTCACTGCACGCCCATCAAACGAGCCATAGATTACATGTAGTTATGTAGGAGCTCATATGTCTCCGCACATTCTCACGTCAAGGCACCAAAACAGGTTTACAGGCCTTCCGCAGGGCTCGATGATAGCCAGATGTTCTCCCGCTCTGTGAACCTCTGCCCAGCCTAAGATGTTAGTGACCGTAAGAGCTGCAAGAGCTGGCAGAGGAGGCTTGTGCATGTGGTCATATGTGAACGCACCGATGGGTAATTTTGTATGTGTACGTTTTTTTTGCACTCAAGTGGAAATTGTCCAGATAAGCGCAACCACAAGAACAACGCAACTGCAGTAAACAGCATCTGTCAGAGCAAGGAATCAGTCTGATAAGCGGGGATTGCAAGTGACGGATGATGCAGAGGTTTGGAAAATTGGCTCCCTTCATGTAATCATGCTAGTAGCTCCGTGAACTCCAAATCCTCATCACAGAACCAACAGTCCACAGAACGTGCGCTCCCACTTTTACTCAGCCCATCGCACCCCGTCAGATGATTCCAATTGTGGCCTATCGAATGATATATTCAGTAAATGTCGACATCCTGAGCTGGTTCGGGGACAAATGACCTTTGAGTTGCTTCCTTTACATACACAAGTATTAGTTTTAAAGCCTGTCTGTCACTGCTGCTCTACAGTAGCAGTGTTCTATTGCATGCCTCATCCTGTGTGCATATACAGTTGTAATAACTGCTGACAATTGTTATTTCCCTGTTTTTCTCCCAGGGTGACCAAGGAGACATCGGGCCAAGGGTAAGTCATGTTTTCTGTCTTTGCCTGAGAAGGTGAAACGAGATGTTATGTGTGTATTTTAGCAGTTATTTCTTCGCTACAGCTGACCTGGCTTTCCTTTAATTGTCTGTGTTTTGCTCCACATCTCTTTAAAAATGAGCCTCCGTTTAAGTCTTCCTTCCAGTTTTTGTCCTCTTTCTCTTGTTTTGCCTTTTTCGCCAATCTCGTTTGTTTTAATCTACACTCCCATTTAAGGTCAAGAGACACTGCACTTTCCATTCAGCCATTTTAAGAAGTGAATTTTCTTTCTTCCTTTTCTTTTTCCCTTTATATTATTGACAGAACTGAAAGTTAAACAACAGGTCCTCCAAAAGGTCCTGTCACATTGAATTAAAGCTGTAATGAAGAGTTACATAATGCACCACTTTGTCTGAAGGACAAACTGCATACTTTTAAGGAAAACTTTTTTTTTTGTCCAGATTTAGATGAGAAAACAGACACCACTTTCATGTCTGTACAGTAAACATAACTCTTCAGCCAGAAGAGCAGTTAGTTAACCTGGCTCTGTCCAAAGTGTTTGACCTCTGCATGCAACTGACTTATCATTGCATCTGTATTGAAAAGTGTTTTCGGACTGCAGGAGGAAACCTTCACAAACACAGGGAACATGTGCAGCTGAGATTCAAACCCAGGCCAGACAGTGTAACAGACCATCACAAATTGGGAATCAAAGTAAATAGAGGAACTTTTTTTTGGGGGGGGGGGAAGTTATTATAACTTCTTAAAAGCTACTCATCATGTCCTTGTTATCTTGTTGGGGAACAGTGTGCATGTGCAAATGTGAAAACACTTCTGATCCTTATATTTGATCCCTATAACATTCAACACTCGAGGCAAGTCTTTTCATAATTCAAAAGAAAAGTGTGTTTACCCTGCGCGGCTTCCCCAGCAACTGCACCAACAACATAGTCCGGCTCGTATGATGAGGTTTCAGTTGCCCACATCTCCAAAGCCAGAGATGAGAAATGATGATATTAAAGAACGATGGAAATACTTAAACCTCACCATCAAAACCCAACGGTTGGGGCAGTGTGCCAAAACTGCCATCTAGTCTCAACCAAACTATGTTTTTTTAATCTTACGGAGTAACCTCGCTCTGCATCTGGTCCATGTTGTCAGTGTTGTCTTTTCATGTGATATCATTCCACCCACCATGAGATCTATATAATTATCTCCCGTTTTATTCACTGTGGTTTGAAAATAAGCCCCCTGTGCTTTACATGGTAAACAGTTTGGATTCTTTGAAGAATTCATGTACCCCATGAATTCTGAATGTTTTTCTAGTTGTGTTATGTTTAGAATATTATCACTATCAGTTAGATGTCTTCACATGCAAAACGGTGAGCTACTGAGGCAATCTGTGCATTGTTTGGGATTTAAACCCAAAGATCTAAACTCCTGTTATTTTCATGTTTTTGTCTGTAAGTTTATTTTATTTCCCCTAAGATGGTAGAAGACTGTAGAAACATATCATAGAACTGAAATGATTAGTTGATAAATTGATTTGACAGTATTCATTTATCTTTTAATTAATATTCAACAATTTTGATAAATTGTTTACGATATTTTTGAAAGTAAATGTGACAAAAGGTTGCAGGTTCTTAAGTGTTAATATCTGCTTCTAATAGAATAACTTTTGGACTTTTATAGACCAAACCATTAATCAATTAATTAAGAAAATTAGATTAATCAACCAATCGGATAATCAGAAAGAAAATTATTCTTAGCTGCAGCTTTACATGAAACACTGTAAACTCATTATTCATGTAAACAACAAGGATTTAATTACATATGGCTTCATTTAATCACATGGGGACAAGATAATTAAAGCGTATGCCATTTGAATTCCACAAATCCCAGTGCCTTGGTCCAAATTAGGCAAATTATGTTGTTTTGTTTTTTGTTTCATGATGGAATTGTGTACTGGAATTGTACCAGATATTTAGATATATTTTTCAGATGCATTCAGCAAATTCAGATAATTTACATGGCCAGCAGAAGCATATAAATATTTCAATTGATGTAGCTCAACAGAATATATTTTTTAACCACTGGAGTTCTTCATCAACACAAATCTTTATTAATAATTGCTTATACTCACTGATTTGTTGTTCACATAATGGCACTATACCTAAACTAGTTAGCCAGTAATTTCCATATTGGCAGAGACCTATCTTATGAGGATGATTGCTCTGACTGTGAGCTACTTAAACTTTCAAAACACTCACACATAAAATATTTATAAAAACTACAAATGTTCCTCTTAAAACCCCTTTTGTAGCCACCTGCTGCTTGTATTAATTATTAGTTACATTCTTTAGCAAGTAACCAACAAATGAAATGTTTGGAATAATAATTATAAATAGATGTGTTTAGTCATAAATCTTCTCAGAGTTGGAGCTCGACAATACTGGCTGAACAGTGTGTGTAAGCGTATTGGAATGAGACTGAATGGCTATTGTTTTATAGCACAGCACAAATGGAGTGTAAATTTGACAGGCCTGCCGAGCGGAACAATATTTATGATGCGGCTCAGAATTAGAGGAATTCCTGATTCCTATCAAGGCGTACGCCATTTGATTTCCCAGCTTATCCCTTCAGATTTTGAGGTACTAGTTTGTGCAAGAATTAAATCTTTTTGGCATTCTTCATTACATAGTTCTTCCAAATGGTAAATATTGCACTTGGACGAGGCCTCAAGGAGCTTGGATGTCCTTGGATAAGTGTGCAGCCGAGAAACCTCAGAGTATCGCTTAGAGACACAGGCTTGGTTCAAAACAAACCCTGCAGCTCCTAAAACTACTGTAGTTGTGAATGAGGTTTGGCATTGGGGTACATTTTCATAGATATGGATAGATAGGTTAGCAAATGAAAAACTGCTGGTCTCTGAATGTTGAAAATACGATTTTTTAACAGCTACAAATCAAAGCTCTACATGCAGAGTGAGCAGACAAAAGGTGGTGCAGCAGAGGCACATACTCACCTTGTCCTGAGCTCAACATTGTACACTGAGTCACCTCTGAACTCTACGAGAAGATAAGAGCATACATGTAAAAACAGGAAGTGGCCATGAATCTCTGTCAACCTGTGACTTCCTGTCCATCCATCAGTTTCGTTCCCTTTGTCAGCCTGAATCTGGTCCCAGAACAGAATACAAACACAGGATAACAGGGGTATTAAAACACAATCAGATGCTATAGAACCACCAAAAATGCGTGACAAAAGGGCACACACAGTGTTGCATCTTTCTCCACAGCAACGTTTATTGAAAGGCATAAAGCTGGTAGCCATTTTTCCCAGCCTCCATACTGTCAAATCCATACAGAGGATGTTGTCACTGCATGTTTAGGTTCGTTTGGCGGCTGTGTTGAAAGACAAGCCCATGATGGGATTTTCATCCCCAGCCAAAGCCTTCTGTTGCCTCCTCCAGAGCAGCTACAAAAAGGCCACGGTTAGACAGAGCTCGGAGGTTGAATGGCTGTTTGTCTTAGTATCAGCCTAAGGTCTGATGAGAACGAGGTAAAGGGGAAACCCACTATTCTCTTATGTTTAAGTTTAAGGAGCATATGTGTATGTGGTCTCCATGGTGGGAACGGTGTGAATGAGTGAATGTGACAGTGGGGAGAGAGGAGAGTATGGGCAAAGAGAAGAGGAGGAGGGGTCTGCGGTGTCGGAAAAACCTCAGCTATCCAGCACTCACCGCAGCCTGTTAACGGAAACCTCATGAGCAGGCTAGCATCTCTCCTTCTTTCTCTACCTACTATCCCCCTTCTCCCTCCTCTCTTAGATCTTCTCCCCATCCTTCCATCCCTCCCATGTGTTTTTGGAAGGAACTCAACCAGAGAAGCAGCACAGTGCTCCGAGCTCTTTGGCGGCAGACAAACTCTGCTCCTTTCAGCTTGACAGAAAATCATCACAGTTACTGTCTGTCGGCTGGAAAGAGCCAAGCCACCTCTGTTTTGTTTGGTCGCAAAGGGAAGGATGGGAAGACATGAAATGGAACACACACACAATTAAATACATGAGTGAGAGATCCAGGATTTCTGAAAGGGCAAAGGGGGCACTTATTGGGTTTTTAATGAAACGTATGTCTCACTATTTGCAGATGATGTATTTTTGTTCTTTACACATCCTGAGCCTATTTCAACCACATATATGCTAAAGTAAGTTGTTCACCTTTCCCTTTGTCACTTCCTTTCTTCAGGGTCCTCCTAACTACAGCACATTTGCAGGTCTGCACAGTAATCAGATTCTCACTGTCAAGGTTTGTCCCTCCAAGCAAACTGTTCCCTAGTCCTCCCAGCAGTCACAGCTCTCTGTCAGACTGCTGCTCTGTCACTATTCTTCTTGAGCTTTCTCTTTTGGCTTACAGCTTCAGAGGCTGCTGAACCCTCATCTCTGTTTTCCTCAGTGCCGTTATTCCCTACTTTGTTGGACTCTCATCTGCACTCTCAGTTAACTTTGGATTTCTCATTTCTTTAACCTTTTTTCTCTTCTCCCTCTCTTTTGTCCTTGGTCCATGTCCAACCTTCTCTTTTTCTCTTTATGCTCTTTCCTTTTCTGATGTCTTTCCCTGCTGCAATTCTTGCATCTCAGATGGTCTTCCCCCGATATGACCATGGCTTTCTCTCTGGAGAGCAGTCCAACAGCTTCCAGAGACGCTTTCTGAAGGTAGACCACAACTAAGGCATGTGTCCACTTTTAACACTTTAACCAACCTTTCTTATCTTTGTTCTGATCAGCCATGCATCTCCCTTTTCCTCTCACCTTTCTCGCTCTCATTTTTCATGATTTTCCTGTGTGCGCTGGCTTGTTTTGCTGTATTAACATTACTGTTTAGATTAAATTGTTTGTATAAAAGGTCAAAAGCAATCAAATAAATTAGGAAAATATCTTGGAAGATGAACCACACACATTTCAAGGAATATGTGCTTCTCATTATAATAAAAGAGCTTTGTTGCTAACAGTTTAGTTCAAGACTGAGCTTCATAGAGACATCATAATTATCAGTGCGTGGAAATAAGGTTTTACTCTTCTTTTTGGAGGTCTTGGTAATATCTTTTCAATGAAAGGGCTTGCTGTACCATGTTGCCTGCCGCAACAAAGCAAACCGTAATGCACCACATGTCTGTAGAGATGAGAGGAAGCAAAGGAAGTGTCACCATGTGAATATAGAGACATCACTGGTCCTACATCCCTTTCAGTAGTGAGGAAGACCTTTAGGGCGTTATTGGGTTCTGGAGTCTGGAGGTCATCAGAAAGAAACGTAATCCCAGTTAGAAGTAAATCCAATGATAAAAGGATCTTTAATAGGTGGTGACAGTTACATTTTTGTTTTGTGAAGCACAAACAGAAAAGAAACGCCTCATTCGACAGATGATGTTATTCTCAGTTAACAAGTTTTCGTGTGTGCACATTTGTCAGCATGGATGTGCTTCATTTTGTGACTAAATGTCAGTCTGACTCACCGGATGAGGACTTGTTCTATTGGCCAACTACACTCTCCCCTCCAGGCTCCCTGTGTTCTTCATTTTTAAGTCTTCATATAAAATATGAGCAGGGCCAACTAGCAAATTAAGCTAACAAGCTACACACTAATAGTGAAAAAGTATAATTAGGCTTTTGAATTATGCAGAAAGGCCTATTTTTAAAGCAGTTATAATCAATATTTCATATATCACATATCACAGTGAGGAATTAACCAACTCTGCTGTTCTTCTAATGACATGATTTATCCTCGTCTTGGTTTTCTGGCCCGCAACTTTACTATTTTGATTGACTTTTACCAGCCTTGTAGTGTTATTTTCACCTGTTTCAGCGGTCTTCATAAAAAACCTATAAACCTACTGGATGCCGAGCACAAAACAGCTGGTAGAATTCAGCTAAAGAGCAGATATTTCCCCCCGAAACAGAGCTAAAAGTAGAGTGAATATTGGATTTGGGTGAACACGGACATAGCTCCAGTTGAATGCTAATGTTGCTTCTTGTCCGCAAGTTCAGAGTAAAAGTTGATGATATAAACAAACATAGATTATAGGCAATCCTAATAATATCTGTTGAGAAATAATGTTTTGCTTTTCCATGGGTAAAAAAAAAATGTTTTTCTTGTATTTCTTTACCTTATTCTTTTTTTTGTTTTTGTTTTCCATCAGGGTGACCAAGGCCAGGCTGGACCTGCTGGTCCTCCTGGTCCCCCAGGTCCCCCCGGTCCCAGAGGCCCCCCTGGGAACACAGGAAAGGACGGGCCACGTGGCCCTGCTGGAGAGCCGGTAAGAGCTTCTACATATGTGTCAAAAAAAAGTGCCAAATGTACACTCACTACACAAAACAATGCACACATACACACCCCACTAAGTTGCTGTTATTCTCCTCCTCCTCCATCATTCCCCCCCTTTTCCTCACCCTCTAACTAAAGTTACACCACAAAGAATTCAGTCACTTAAAACACCTCAGTCATCAGGGGCTGCCACTACTCCAATTGTGTTGACCTGGTAGGGTTCAACCGCAGGGTGTGACAGATTGCAAATTGTGTTTCTGTGTGTGTGTGTGTGTGTGTGTGTGTGTGAGAGAGAGAGAGAGAGAGAGAGAGAGAGAGAGAGAGAGAATCTGCATTTATACACATGTATTAAGGGGGAAAGGGTCTATGCAGTAAATTGCAGTAAACCCATATTCTCATTCTTCCGGGTTTGCCAGTGAGCTGTGGCTTACCTAAAAGCTCCCAGAATAGCAGCTCTACTCCTGGCCTCATCTGTTTCGTGTAAGACAGTGGCCACAAAGTTCTCCAGTACGCCCCTATTCTCCCACCCTCCTACCACGACTGTGTCGCTGTGCACCCCTGAAACAGATATGGCACTGCAGCGAGTTCATGGGCAGTTTGCCGGCCTCACCAAACAATAGTTGTGCTCTTTCCCTGAGGCAGTTTATGTTTCTCAAAATTAACTTTCTGCTTCCCAGAGTTTAGTTCTTATGCAGTGGCCGCTTAAACCTGTGGTTATAGGATGGAGGAAAAAGAAAGAGGCTATGAAGGTAATTTTTGTTTATCTAAGTGAGGGAATGAATGCTCTGTTACCCTCAACTGGCATCAGGACAGCAAAGTGTTGGTTTCAGTGTGGGTGAGTTGGGAGCTTATGCAGAACTGACAGAAGAGAAAGCCAGCACAGATCAGAAAATGACTGAAAACAGACGGGTCGGAGAGAAAGGGCCTTTCTTGTAATCTAGTCAATTTCCAATTTATTCTCCAAGTTGATTAAAATGTGTTGCACAACACAAAACTGCAAAACAAAGCAGAGTGGCACTAAGAGCCGCTACATGTTGTGGGCAGATGTCTGAGTGGGCTGAGCAGGAGAAAGTGAGTGAGCAAGCCCGCCAGCGTGGGTGTCCCTTAATGTCAACTGTATCTGTAAAGTGGAAAGTAAAGGAATGATAGCACAAATAAAGTTGCAGCTATGTTTCTGTATGATGTGCGGTTAGATAAAACTGCTGTGGTGATTGTGTGTGCAAATATTTTGCCTTATTTCAACAAATTATTTCATCTAAGTTCAGGAAATTATTTCAAGTAAATTTAGTATCGTTAATAATTGAAAATGCATCTGACATCTGAACTGGTCTACATCCATCCTTTTCTGCAGTCAGGATAAAAGAAGTGCTAAAAATTATTTGCAACGGTGATTTGTTTCCCGCTGCTGTGGAGGAAAGATCAAACGATGAGGAGTACGTAAGAGGGGTGAGAAAGGAGGTTAAAAGGCTGCTGGAGCAACTGAGGATGATAATAAAAGAGGACCATATAGCAGTAGAGGAGATCAAGGTGACAGTTTGTATCTGCTGGCAGAGAGGAAGAGGAAGAAAACCAGCTGGGAAACATCTAAGCTTCTGCACATTATTGTAAAATATTAGGACAGAGCAGAAGGCTAATAACCTCAGATTTATATCATGCATTGATTACAGTGCACTGAGTGATCAAGTAAACACAAGTACTTGATAGCAGAGTGTGTGTGTGTGTGTGTGTGTGTGTGTGTGTGTGTGTGTGTGTGAGAGAGAGAGAGAGAGAGAGAGAGAGAGAGAGAGAGAGAGAGAGAGAGAGAGAACTACTCCCACTAAACTGTCTCTGCCAAAGATGACTTCATGACAGATGTTTAGCTGCTTTAAGCACACATCCACCTGGCCCTCACAAACAGCCAGGATAGGTCTGTTTACCTAAATAAGCCAAATCACTGATGGACAGATGCCAGAAAGAGGATATGGAGATCCCCTCCAGTTCGTGCTGATGGGGAGGCTATGGCTTAGCGTTTATCCATACACCAAGTCCTGACCAGGGCTCCGTAGTCATCCTCCTGCCAAATGCAAAATAGATGGCTTTTTGAATAGATATGGGCAACAATTTAAAGAAAAAACTAGATGAATGTGTCTTCTTGTTGTTATTCTTTCATTTCATGGTTTGATGACAGTTCAGTCCAAAATCTTCTGCAGGTGTTTAGCTGGATCGAGTTCTGGTGACTTTGAAAGCCATAGCATATGATTCCCACTAATGAAAGCATTCATGAGTGCAGTCCTTGTGCCCTGCAAAAGTATCTGTATCTGCATCTGTTTTTTTCCTTTGTCGCTACTCTCTGAAGAAGCGCTTGATAAGGTCCATTGACTGGTCATGCCTTATTGAACACTGACATCTAGTGGTCAGAATGGTGTAACTCTTTGATGGAGAGTTTCCTGACAGTGAGACAATGATTAAGTTTCTCCTCTGTCCTCAGGGTTTTCCAGGTCGAGATGGCGTTGAGGTGAGTCAAAGAGTCAAAGCCAGTTAACACCTCAAGCTATTTGATTCATGAAGCACTGTTATAAGTCTTTGGGGATTTTTTTTTTTTTATCTGTCTCTGGATAATTACGATAACTAAATATATTTTTTCCTCAGGGGTCACACGGATTGCCTGGGAAGCCGGTGAGATCATTAATAGATTACTGCCTTTGATATAAATGAATTGGCCTACTTCTTGTTTTTCTCAAACACCCTAATTGCTCCAGAGGTAACATGTAACTAAAAGTTTGTACTTTTGACTTTTAATGAACTGACAGGGCGAAGATGGTGAGCCCGGATATCCTGGACCACAGGGTCCTCCAGGAGCAAAGGTACAGATAAGCTTTACTTATCTTGCATGCTGATTATTTCAATGTATCTGTCTTTCCATGCACTGACCTTGAATGTTTAATGTGTATTGAAACAGGGCGAGCCAGGTATGGGAGAAAAAGGAGAGCGAGGCATGGATGGATTCCCAGGATTAAAGGTAGAAGACCAATCTGAAATGCCATTTAAACAATACACATGACAATAATTAAGACTTTTCATAATAATAACCTCATTCGTAACTCTCATGCTATATAAAAAAAATTCTAAACATCTAATTGTCTGAGAGTTTTACCCTAATATGCCTCATCTGTGCATCACACAGGGAGACAGAGGGGAAGTAGGAGAGCAAGGACCTCAAGGACCCATGGTATGTGTCGTACCCTTTTAGAATACTTTAATTATAGTATTAAACACCTATAGTGTGTATATCTTCATTTATTTGTGTATTTCTCATTCATGTTTTTCTGTCTCTGCTTTAGGGTCATCCTGGTGAAAAAGGCACCACAGGCTCTTCAGACATCATTGACTTCAATGGAAAGCTTCTAGATGCTTTCCAGGTGAGTGATATTAAAGTGCCAATGAGGCCAGGTTTATGGTTACATCATGTAACCCATCAGGCATTTACTACATCAGGCCCAACTTTAAACAAGCCCAGAAATGGTAGTGGGTTGAGAAACACTCATCACATTTTCTCTTTCAAAAACCACAAAACTGAACATGTCGCCATTTCTTCTTGACAGGCCATCAACACCATCAGTGTTTCGGTAATCTGCTGTTGTGTCTGCATGGTTTTGGTCGAGTGATCAGTGATTAACACCTGATAATGCATAGACTTACACAGACTTGCATAAGCGCACAGGCTGTATGTATCCACACTTTATACCACCTGCTTCAGCTAGTGGATATGTGCTCTTGTAGATGCCCTCTACCCACAAGTACATACTTCAGATGTATTGGATGTCACTTTAGAGACCACATCTTAAGAGTCTACATCTCCACATCTTAAGGGTTTACTAGTACCAGGTTCTTTTTTGTATTCATTTGGGATGAAATACACAGCCCCAGCAAATATAGTACAGCTGTTCAGATAACATGAAGCATGCTTAATCATGCAGAAAAATCAACAGCCTTTGTTACACTGTTCTGAGTCTGTTTTCATGCTATGTATGTTCCTCACAAGATATGTGGCCACCACTTTGCTACAGGGCAGCATGGTGTTTTTTTTGTCTATGTACTTGTTCCACATAACTGTGTGTGAGTGCACAAAGGGAATGCATTGGAAAGGATGTGAACCCCTCATAGTCACCACAGTCTCGGTTTCATGCCCTTCTCTTCATACACAAGACCCTTTGATTCTTCCATGTACCGTGCTACATGCTAATAACAGATGGCTATCTCTGCAGAGGAGTGTGTATTTGATTAAAAACCACTATGCACCAGGTCCCCTTGAACCTGGCCTAAAATGGGCTCCTGCATGCAACTCTGGTAGACACCAGCGTGAGATGGTCACAAAGGAGTCGATGAAAACATGAACCTGAGATCTTATCACGAGGCTCTTGCCAACGTGGATTAGTTGGCACCAAATCACACGCAAGGTCTCAGCTAGAGTTATCCATGGAGTGAGGAGTTCTCATTGGCCACCCAGTTTGTTATGATCCATTCATTTGTTTGTGTGAAAAGTCGTATTGGTTTCATTTGTGGTGAACTTTTAGGTGATGATGAATTTGGTTTAAAATGATGCTGAAATTTTATTTGGTTTGTTGTTGTTTGTTACTATCATTCATTTTACGGCTTTTTGTGTAATTATTTGCATGAGTAGCCTTCACTTTCCAATGATGGAGTATCTCAGATCAAATAGATGTTTGTAAACATCTTTTGGTTTCCATGGCTTAAATGGGAGGCCAACGAAAAGTTAGGAATTGGAAAGAAGGGAGAGACTCAGCATGTACACCTCCGGGAGGCAACATGAACTCTTTTTTTATGACTTCAAGATGGCCGAGGACTTCAGAGGGAGAAGAAACAAGTGTAACACTGTGCATATAGAGATTACGGAGTGTGATTTAAGAGGCTGCCACTCATCAACCAGCATAGTAGACAGCATGGGATGGATATGGTATGCAATTCTTCATCCATTGTTAGGGTTACATAAAGTCACATAAATGTTTTGTTTCTCCTCCTTTTGTGCAACAGTCTCATCCTGCATCGAAAAACAATCAGCCGAATGGAAAATGACGCCAGGCTATTGTGTAGCACAAACCACATACAGCACTGTTTTACAACCTTTGTGAGATAAAATTGCTTCAAGTTGGTTGTGATCAGCGAAACAGAGTGAACGAAAGAAGTCAACAGCTTTGTTTACTGTCAGGGTTGCGTTATGAAATCCATCAGCTTTGTTGTATTGTTTGGCGTTGGCTCGTATTCAAGCCTTATGGTGGAATTCTGAGAGTTCCCAGTTTTTCCACCATTGTGGTAAACAGAGTAAACAGCTAGATATACACACTGTGTCTATGTGACTGTCCGAAAATGGCACATGTAATTGGCTATAATCAGAATTTTTATATTAACAATGGGTCACATGACTTCTTTTAGGTGAAAGTGTACATTGACTGTGACAAGCCCGCTGAAAATTATCCTGCAGTTCCCATCAGCTCTGTAGCTCTTTCCAACCTGCAACTTTATTGTTTAGATTTACTCTTACAACGCTCCTCAGCAGTGTTTGCGGCCACAACAGTTGTCCATTTTCAGCACAAAAAGACCACTGTATGTTACCTTTCCAACACCACAACCACCAGACAGGAAAAGTGAGCAACTGGTGAACATAGTGGAGTATTTGGTACCTAAAGAGCCAGATATTTCCCTCAGGAGTCTGTGAGAGAAGGAGAGTAAAAGGAGAGTAAATATCAGAACCCATTTATCAGGTGGACACACTTTAAATGAATGCTGATATTGTTATGTATCTGCTGGATGCGCAAATACAGTTTGCTAACAAGTTCACCGCCAACTTAAAAAGTGATGATGTGCCAGTGTTGTGTTAACAGCTTGTTTCCACTGACCCCAAGTGGCCAGTTCCTGTAGGTGCACGACAGTTAAATTCTAATTCATGAAGTTTATCTGGGCAATTTGATGTATCACTCACTCAATTTATGTCTTTCTCCAGGGCCCACCTGGACCACCTGGACCCCCAGGCTATCCAGGGGAAAAGGTAAATGACTCTGTTGTCTAACTAATGTACTTTTGCTAGTAATTAGGTTTTATGAAAATCCAAGTAGATTTTGTGTTAGTTAAAGCCAGTCATATTCATCAGTCTTTCCTCTCTTCTTCCAGGGTGAGCTTGGTTTACCTGGACCAGCAGGAGTTGATGGTGAGAAGGTAAGATTGCAAAGAGGCAGAAATTACATTGATTAACTTTGTTTACACATTTTTAAGATATATTTGGTGGTTTGAGAGCTTATATTTTTTCCACTTCTTATTATGCTGAACATGACATCTCTGCGTCGATTCTTGGCCTCCAGGGACCTAAAGGTGAAATTGGTGAGACAGGACGACCTGGCGAGAGAGGAGAGAAGGGAGAGATGGGTCTCTCTGGGCCTACTGTGAGTAGTGGCAATAAACAAGTTTCTCTGATATACAAACACTGGAAAGTACATAAACAGCTGGAAGTTCATCTTGCTCTTTGTGGCTCAGGGTATGGACGGACACAAAGGAGAGAAAGGCGACTGCAGAATGGACGACAACCTGGTTCGTGTAACACACACACAGTTTATTACCACTCATATATGTGTATAGATCAGTGCAGACACATAAGGGTCAATAATTTAAAGGACAAGTAGCTTTGCATATTATATTATAATATATGTCATCGGTTTTCATTGATTTCCGTATGGTGGGAATGTTTTCAGATCGAAACATGCTTGAGTTGTGCGATCAATCATAAGAAACATCAAGGCTACGTTAGTTATCCCAAACTCTTCAACATGCTTTGTAAAAACAGGAGTGATATAAAATATATATGACTTGTGGTTGAGGAGCTAAAATATGCAAATCACTGGTGGTCCTTTAATCAGTTAATCTTCTCTGGGTATGACGTAAGTTAAGTATATCAATAATGATTTTTCTGCTCCTGCTTGACTCATTTCACTGGTGCTCAGGTTCAGATGATTTCCCAGCCAGGCCCACCTGGCCCACCCGGCCCACCAGGGGTTCCTGGTTCCCCTGGATCCATGGTGAGCACTTATATCTCTATCTAAATCCAGGTATAACGTAATCAAGTCATGTAAGTTGTTTACACCTAACTGTCACACTCACAGTACACAATGTTTTTCAGGGGCTGCATGGAATGCCTGGCCCTAAGGTAAGACTGCCAGACCATGGGTCTAGTATGTGATGGAGGCTATGATGTGTTGTTTGGTGCTCAGTGTTTCTGTTTTCTGATGCAGGGTGAGCCTGGATATGGGATGAGGGGAGAGAAGGGGGACGCTGGTCCTCCTGGACTCCAAGTAAGTGACACTGATCCATTGTTATCATAATCAGACATGATGTACCTGGACACGGCACAGTGATGATAATGTACTTTAACTGCAGGGATTAGTCGGCCCCCAGGGATTACCTGGGTCTGCAGGGTTAGTGGGTCTTCCAGGTGCAAAGGGAGAAAAAGTAAGCACCCTCCTTAAACTACTACTTGTTTTTGATTATGTGGGTCTTGAATAAAACATGCATTATAATTTGTATGTGTGAATCTGTGTTTGCAGGGCAGACCAGGAGAGCCTGGACTGGATGTAAGTGTCTGACTGAGAATTTAGATCCTGAAAATTACAATAACATATGTTTTAATATTATTGAACTTTAACCTGTATCCACTGATAAGCTACCTTCTGACCCATTTGTGTTTCTCTGTCCAGGGTTTCCCAGGACTGATGGGAGAGAAAGGTGACCGAGGGGAAAGAGGAGATAAGGTTAGTATAGATTATGGGAAAAGGTTTAATTATCTTCAACAAAATACAACCAGTTCAATATTTTTCCAACATTTGTTTATGCATAATAATAATAATAGCCTATATCATCAACACAAAGCTCCTATCTTTACCTTTCCAGACATGTATTGGTTTGTAATGACACAAACAGTTTTGTCTTGATGCACTAATGTTGTGTGATAAGTTTCTTTATTTGTGTGTGTGTGTGTGTGTGTGTGTGTGTGTGTGTGTGTGTGTGTGTGTGTGTGTGTGTGTGTGTGTGTGTGTGTGTGCTGTCCTCCTTATCCCCAGGGTGACAGGGGAACAGTTGGGAAGAGAGGTCTAAAGGGCCAGAAGGGAGAACAGGGTCCTCCAGGCCTGGACCAGCCGTGTCCTGTGGTATGTCTCTCTCACACTCACACTCACAAACACATTTGAACTGATTTACCTACTAACCCCTTCCTCCCACATACTATATTTCCCTACTTTCTTCTCTCAGCACTGTTTCTGTCAATCTGTGTTTTCTGAGTTTCTTCCTTTAAAGCTGTGAATGTGTCACTGGCTCTTGCTGACAGGGTTGTGATGAGACTAAAGGTCTGTCTGAGGGGGCAGGGCTTTCTTCCCCTCCATCTATTTCTCCTTCCGGCCCTGAGGCCCCCTGTCCTGTGGTACAGTATCTTTGCCTCCTTCTTCCTCTTCTTGCATGTTATGCAGCTACTGTTGCTATTTTCTATTCAAACACTTTTTTTTTTTTGCCTTTTTCATCTCTCAAACTCTGTTATTAATGTGCTCTTAAATCACCAAACCATGCTCCATATTTGGGTTTTCTGTAGGGTTTCTGTAAAGAGAGACATTCACAGATAATAAACAAATTGAAGAATATATATCTTGTATCATGTTTTTATGTTTTTTTACAGTTTAGTTTTTGTAAGGATATGCTAAGCTAAGTTAACTGGCTGCTGTCAGTAATCTTATATTTAGATATGAAAGTGGTATCAATCTTCTTATCAAATCTCTGCCACAAAGAAAATAAGAGTATTTCCCAAAATGTTGCCCTTTAAAAACTACAGATTACAGGGGAAAAAAACATCAGAATTTATCAACAGCATAATTGTTTTGCACCTTTTTTGTTATTTTTGTTTGCTTGAAATTGTATTTTTTATAGCTCAGCCTTTGCTTTATTTTATAACATCAGTTTGCGGATAAGGAGTGCACACCTTAGACCCTGTATCTGTTATATTTAAATCAGCAGGATGCAGAACAGTAAGGTGTCTTCAAGCATGCATTACTTGACATTTTCTGGCTTGTTAACTTTCCACTGCTGTTCTCTCTCTCTCTCTCTCTCTCTCTCTCTCTCTCTCTCTCTCTCTCTCTCTCTCTCTCTCTCTCTCTCTCTCTGCAGGGACATGATGGGATGCCCATACCCGGCTGCTGGCACAAGGTGGGTGTCTGTTTTTTTTTTTTTTTTTAAGCATATTGTTAACTAATGGAATAATTAGCATTTGATTGTGAGGCAGCAGCAGGCACAGTCTGGGAGCTGTAAAAAGCTAATGCTAATTGTAATCAAAGCATACACTGAGATTATTACTCATGGATTGTCAGCATTAAAATGATTGCTTGACTCTGATTTGACACAGGGGCATTTTGTAAGTATATTACAGTGTGTGAGCTTGCAATTGTAAAGCATGAGTATTTGAGGTCATTTTAGGGGCTTGTGTTCTGATTTTAATTTGATATGCTACTAATAATCCCTATTATTCTTGTTTTGCAGTGATGACTAACCAGCAGCATGGAATCTGTATATATTGACATGGTATATATTGGAATTGAATACTTCACCAACAACCCACTCCCTTTTTTCCCCTTTTTTTCATAAAACGTTTTATATAATATATTGAGATTTTTTTTTTTTTTAACGAGGACATTTTTGAATCTACAGTATTATGAAAACTTTTTTTAAACTCTAGAGATCCAGTGTTGAGTGAATGCAGCCATGGTTTTAAAGAGAAGAAACTGAACTGGCAGTGGGACTCTTACTTTTAAAGACAGTCCAGATGACAGTCTAGCTGCCTAACTAACAAAGTCTGACTTGCTGCCTGATTGTAATCATGAACGCTGTACGGATATGACGGTGTGTGCACTCACCCAGTCTCACTCTCGTGGATGGATGGATGCATGGATGGCTGGACAGATCTCCTGGCTGTGGCAGATGGAGGAATGTGGGTCAGTACTCTCTTCTCTCTCTGTTTTCTAAAAAAGGAGCAAATGGCGAGACAGAAGCTCAAACGCAAGCGTCTCTCTCAGCCCTGAAGGGGGTGCGGGGCCCGGTGGAGAAAGGACACGTAGACAGGCAGAGAGCACAAAGGGGCAGACTGGCCTTTATGAAGCAGAGCGTGCCATGTAATGCCTCAGTGTCACACTGAACACTCAGATCCTCCGTTATGGAAACTCCCCAGGAGGTGGGGAGGGGCGACAGACAACACTGCATCTTCACATTCACCTGAGAAGAAAAGACACATCTGTTGGTTGGTGATGTTGGGCAATAGCTTGATAACCAGTAAAAAAGTTATTTGAGGAGTCACTGACGTCACTGGCACATAAGGAAGGATTTACTGCACAGATACGTTGAACATGTTGTGACGATCTCTTCTATGGCTCTTTTATAAAAAAGGTTTTCACTAATTAAATGCATGATCATAACGAGGCACAGTAGCATCCCGACAGCTTGTACGACTTGTGGTCCCTCATTGAAACCTCAAACGATTCATTTTCATTTGCAATAAGCAGTCTTTGATAGTCTTTCCATTTGAACAAGCCATTCAGAAAAGTCAGTAAGTCTACCTTTTTTATGGCTTACACTTGTGGCCGTGGTAACTTGTGTGTTTTTTTGTTTTATTTTGTTATATTCTTACCTGTTTTTTGTCCAGTTACATTTTGCATTCCTGTGCATTGCCATGTTTGTGGAATATATCGATAGTGAAACTTAAAGGCCAGATTTGAAGGAACCATTTTCAGTATTCATGATACAGTGTTTCAGTTGTCTTGACAAATGATTGCCAATCAAAATATTTCCTTAATAATTTTCAGTGTCTGATCATTATTTTTTAATCTCTGATCAATACATCAATAATGTTGACAGTTTCTCTGGACAACAGTGTAAGTTCTTGCTGCTGACTTAAATGTGTGTTTGTTTGATATTTTTGAATCAATATTTGTCATTTCGACTGAAGGACTAACAGACTAAAGTATGAAATTTGAATCAAATGTATAGACAACCGTTCTTTTTTGAGGGTCATTATTAATTTTCATTCAGCAATATGCCTTAGCACAGTGGTTCTCAATTATTTTGTGTGTATGTTTTCTTTCAAATATCACAAAAAGTTTGCATCTTTGCTGTCAGATGACTTTTATTGGTGTGTTTTGGTCTTCATGATACATTTTTCTCAGATGGAATCATTTCTTGGTGCTTAAATACTTTTATATACCGTTTTTAAAGCTCTACTCTGCATATTCATGTGCAGAACCACACACATCCACAGATACACGTGCATCATTGTTTAAAGAAATGTTGAACATAGGAAAAAAACAAATTTTCAAATATTTGGTTGTATGTATACAGGACAGAGATTTCTCATTATTTGGTTCTGTTTACATAGACAAAAATACAAACACATGAAAGGAAAAACGTGTTCAAGTTTCTTAGTGGATTTCTGTTTATGCTACATTGATGTTAGTTGCACTTTTTGATACTATATGAAAAATATTCAGCAGTTATCTTTTTTTTTTTTAAAGCAGAATGCATATTCAGGTTAACATGGCTGACTTTTACAACATTGTCATTGTTAGTCTGAATATGAACAATCAGAATGTTTAATTATTAATTAGTAGTAGTTAAAATCAACATACAGGCTGCTAAACTTTTCTAATTCCAATTCTTGCCCACAGCCACAAACCTTTGCAAATTTCAAACAGGGTCAGTATTAGTGTTGTTAGAAGTTTTTTTTTTGCTAAGTTTGATTTTTCACATGATCTTCAAATCAATCGGAGGAACACAAATAGATATGTGATGTGTGGAAGTGGGATTTTCTGTTCCAATTAGGTAATTTGTTCAAAGGGTAATGTAGTAGAAGGATTACAGTGTTGATTCAGTTACTGCTGAATCTAGAAAACACACAGAGTTCATTGGTAATACTTCCTTTTTGTAATTAAACATATCCAGTAGCTGACCTGCAAACTGGCTCATATTAAGTTGCAGCAGATATGATGTAGGCCACATATCCCTGCAGTGGTAGTTCCTGTTTAGGTCTGGAATAGACGATTTGTAACATAACCTCTAATCAGCTTTATTTCTTTTTGCAAAGATCATTTATTAAAGCTGAATTACTGACTCACACAAAACTATTTCTGTATCAGTGGGATAAATATGATGTAAAGTCCCAAAAACATGTTTTAACTTTAGAAGGGTGTGGTGAGAAAGATCAGTGCATCATATATAAAACCCATACAAAACAGACATCTGTATATGAGTTGCATACCATTAAGCTAAAATAGAATAGCTGACATACAAACTTTTTTTTTTACAATCATAAAATATGTTGGGTGGGGATTTATATTGAAAGCAGAGTGGTTTAACTGTAAACCACACATTTCTTAGCATTATTTCACTGGAAACTGATGGTTTTCTGTCACTTAACATTATTATATGTGTTTATTTCTTTTGCAGATTCTATCAGTTTCAGTTTAAAGGCTTAATGGAGTCAATATATGGCACAATGTCTAAATACAGTTTGGTGTTTTAGCAAGTCATATATCACAGTATTAGCTTGACTTTGTGAGAATGTTTGTTTTTTTTTGGTTGTGTATTTGGTTGTAAAAGAATTAAGCTATTTTTGTAATTACTTGTCTAAAAATGTATAACATTAAATCTGGTCAACTAAACATGTAGACTGAAGTAAACTCTCCAGTTGTATGGGTTTTTTGTCCATTAAATCATATTCATATAAAAAATATTCAGTTTCATTCATTTAACATTGATGTAACATCAAAGAACCAAATGTATGATGATGTTATATATCTAATATATTGTCATATTAAAGCTGCAATAAAGTGCTTTGACATGTCAGCATCTGCACTTTACACCACATAAGTTTTATGTCCAAACCAGCAATATATTCCTTTTCTATAGAATGCACTTTACAGCCTGATTATTACCTAATTATCAATTATAAATATACAACCACCTTCCTCTATGTGTATCTTTGCTATAATTAACCATAAAAGAGGCAAATTGAGACAATTGAACAAAAATTAAAATTACCTTCTCTGTACAACCATTATAACCATCACAGTGAGTTTGTTGTAATCACCTGTCTGAAAGGCATTCTGTGAGCCTTGAGCACTGCAAAGTCCTCCACAATCTACTCTAGGTTCAGCTTCTCTTGTTCATTCTCAAAACGTAATAAACCAGTTCACTCAGCCTCTCTGTCCCACTGTACTCCTCAAGGTTTTCAAACACTTTGAGCTGAATGGAGCTCTGCAGTCAAATCTGTGACAGAGATTATCGTCACAAGACCCCACATACCTCACTGGAGGTAAAAGTTAATCTGTGAGCACAGAAGTCACTGCTGGAGGATCCACAATGAGCCAACAACCAGACAGCGTGCACCTGTTGGTCACTCATCAACATCAGTGGCAGACTCAGGCTGTCTGAGGGGAGGAGGCTGGGGCACCAGCACACAGAAAGCCAAGATGCATTTATGGTGAAACAGTTCCAAACCCTAGTTAAGATTACAAATGCTTCATTATGGAACTCAGATTAAAACTATAAGTACTATACCAAAAGCGCAGGGAGCTATTAACTATTTAAAGGTCCAGTATGTTTTCATTAGTGTATAATCACTTAAATATAGGAACCGTAGATGTTTTTATCTACAGACACAGTAGGTTGCCTTTATCAGTCCGCCATGTTGAACCACCATGTTTCTACAGTAGCCCAGAACAGACAAATGAAACATTGGCTTTAGAGACAGACGTTTCTCCTACACACAGCCCGTTCTCATTCCCAGATAGTCAAAACAGACACGAGCAGTGTTCAGTTAGTTGCAATCTTAAGCTTCACAGCCAGATGGCACTAAATCCTACGCACTGGTCCTTTAACCATTTAGTGGCACGTAGTGCGAGGAGCTTCCTAAACCCAGCAGCACAGAGAAGCAGCTGGTTGTCCTCTATGCAGGTTGGGCTGCTCCTCATCCTCTTGGTTGGTGGGTAAAGAGGGTGATGACAGGGGTCAGGGTGGACAGTGGTTATGATTGTACTCACTGGGTCTTTGTGGGATGATTGGTTGGTTGGTTGACGTCTGCTTTCAGCTGCTCCAAGAACAAAAACACAGAGGAGTCCTGCCCTATGAAACCGAAAAACAAGTCACAGATCATTCTGGACACAACTTTACAAAGTTTACTTACGTAGCCGACTGAAAGAAAGGTGACCAGCGCTCTCCAGCAGGTCCTGTATTCATCCAGCCTTCTCATCTGGTCCCGAGTAAACACATATTCTCTGCAGTCGTTGAAATCCTGTATGTAGAGTCTCAGTCTTCCACATCACTGCTTCATGTGGGGCGGTTGATGCAGTGTGTATACTCCTGAAAGCTGGGAACACAACATGAAAGTACAACAAAGTGAGTAAGATAAATAAGTTACATAAGTAACAATCTGAGTAAAAATTACTACTATAACTACAACTGTACTACACATATCACTTAGCCACTAACACACAAGATTTAGATACTGAATATTAGAGAGTTGGACCATCTGACTATAAGGAGGACAGATATGTGTGTGTTACAACCAACAAAGTCTGCTCTTAATTTCAAATTTTATCAAACGAACAGAGAGATTTTCACAAATTATTCTCATATGTCCACCAATGTTAGAGCTGAATGAGCTCATTGTTTCTACGATTAAAAAACAGGTGACACACATTTGGTTGCAGTTTGCCCATGTGGAAGTGAACGGGGGAACAAAGACATACAACATTAACATCCGCTTTAATTGTTTACAGCAACTCTGAATTTCTTGTTTTTCATTTTAAATAGTTATTTTTAAATGAACAAATGACCTTGTGGATTTGTGGCTTCATGTTTGTGACTATTAAATCGGTGCCACATTTGTTATGGTCACTGACCATAATGGGATTGTTATACAGCTATACAGCATGAATCGTAAGTAGAAAAATGTGAGAAAGCGGATCACTTCACATCATTTGTAAGTTTTAAATATATATTTTTTACTCATGGGATTTTTGATTTTTTTTCTAGTGTAAGTGCAGATTGCTCCAAAAAGCTAAAATATAATATAACCAGCAGTACTAAATGTTTAAATACAGGCCTGACATTTAATAACAATTTTAAGCAGCTCTTAAATACTTTACTACACTGTTGATGGAGACAGGGAAACATTGAGAGCAGCTTGGTCGCAGCACAAATTGAGACATAGCTTGGCTCAATGAATTTGCTGGTGTATAAAAGCAAGAAACCATAACAAAGAAAGGTCATTCTTGAACTAATTTATGCAAAAAAAGTTAAAAGGGGATTCCAGTTTTTATATTTACATAAAATAATGTGACATGTACCCATAATTATGACAGCAGTTTTGAGACTCAAACAATTATGCAGGAGCAGCCAAACTCTGATGTGACAGAACATGAATAACAAACATGTTCATATAGTTTCAGACTCTGGAAGACAAGAGTCAAAACATGAGTCAAACCTCAAACTGAAACTGTAACAGAACTCGCTGCCACCATGAGCTCCCTCACACGCACAGATACAACAGTGCGCTCACAGACAGCGTCCCTTATTTCACACACACTTTAACATAAATTATCAAACTCCTTCTAGCCTGGCTTGTCTAACTCTGTTAAGTCCCACCGTTCAACTCAACAATAAATATATCCAGGAAACAACCACTGATGAGCCAGCATGCCTGTCTGTCTGTCCTTGGTGTGTGTTCGTGTGTGTGTGTGAGCCACATTACTGCGTTTGAATAATTAGTCAAAGAGTGTCAGCTGTGTCAGTCAACTCACCTGGCACTGCTCTCACAAACCATCTCAACACCTGTCTCCCTCCTTCAGCTGAACGTCAACCAAACCCTCCTCCACAGAAACTATTCTGATATAATATGTTCAGTGTTTTCAAACTGTACTTCTTTATGCTTAGGAGAATATTTATTTGCTATTTTGTGGTTACAACAATATTACACAGCTCTCATAAAATCAATCAAACGTATGACATAGTGTTTTCCAATTATTTTGTAATACAATATCTGAATACTGGCCATTATATATATATTATATTATATTATATATGTACCACTCACATTAGGCTATATATATAATGTATGTATTGGATTTGTTTCCCTCTTGAGGACTATTTTATATCAAACATGTTATTAAATATGTTAATATAATAAAAAAAAGGCATAATAATCCATCATATGATTATCAAACATACTGTTCTCACATCAATGTTGACTGAATAAAGTTTAATAATAGTATTATACGGTAAAAGTATGAAGTCCACATTTCCCAGAATCCTCTGCGGCCCGCTCACCCCTTCTTAGTTTTTGCATCCGGGTCTGAACTTCCTTTTCCTCTGTGCCCAGATGCGATGAGGACCTAGATTTTTCAGGACCTCTGAAAAATCCGACTCCATCCTTGTGAAAGGCGCCACCGAACCTCGCCAAAATGACCGAGCAGATGACCGTGAGGGGGACCCTGAAGGGCCACAGTGGATGGGTCACCCAGATCGCCACTACGCCCCAATATCCCGACATGATTCTGTCGGCGTCCCGAGGTGAGGCTCCGTCCGCCGGCTGCGCCAACATGGCTAACGTAGCATTACTCAGCTCAGTTGGCGTCGCTGCTGTAAGGTGAAGACAACCGACGGTGGTGGTGTGAGCGGCGCATTAAATGTGTTCAAAGAGCCCACGAAGGCGTGTTGTGTATTTATTGTATGCGTTAGTTTCTCTTCGGACACAACCTGCTCACACTACAGAGGAAGACGCCGGTTAGCCTAGCCAGCTAACGCTGTCTGGCGTCACCTGTAGCTCAGTGTGAGATACCCACACTGCAGCTGTGACACGTGTAATAACACACACATGGGGAGGTATAAGTGTTACTACATGCTCAAACGTGTGGACAAATCGCTCCTAACTTAAATGGAGAGTCTGCTGAGTGTACATTAAATGTGTGTGACAGCTTTCCTTCTTGAAATGCTCAAACAGTGATGTCCAAATGTGGCTGCTCTTTCCTTGAATGACGCTCAAAGTTAAATAAAACTCTGTATTTTGTGTTTTTCAGACAAGTCTATCATCATGTGGAAGCTGACCCGTGATGAGACCAACTATGGCATCCCGCAGCGCTCCCTGAAGGGTCACTCTCACTTTGTAAGTGATGTTGTGATCTCCTCCGATGGACAGTTCGCCCTGTCAGGTGCCTGGGACGGGACCCTCCGCCTGTGGGACCTCACCACGTAAGTGCAGGGAGTCCTGAGCTGTTTCCTCTACATGTTTACTGTAGATGGTTCATTTGTGTCCATATGACACAGGTTAAAGTTTAGCAGTAAGGTATTTTCGTGGCTACGAGGTTGCATGTAATCAGATCTGCAACTGTTTCAGGAAAGATCCCCTTCTTGTAAGTAACCATGTGAAAAGTAGGTTTGTAGTTTAACTCTTGGACTAGAACTGATGCAGCTTTTGCCACAGGAATCACAAATGACAGCGTATGAGCCATCTTAGCATCAATGATATTGTGACTCATTAGCCAAGCTACACCAGGTCCATGTTGAGAATTGCTCCATACAATCAGTGGGTTAAATCTGATACAAACCCAGCCTTAAGTTGTGTGGCCAGTTGACTTTGCAGCAGCTTGATGGAGCTCACATAGACGATTGACATGAGTCAGATTAATATCTCTATCTAAAGCAGGTGAAGCACAAATACAAACTTTTTCTTCTTCATAAAGAACCATTTATCAATTGTAAAACTTTCCTTGTAATACTTGCTTACCCATAAGAATTTGTATATGGGACAGTCTGTTACATTTTACTATCTTACAGATCTTACTTTCAGCTTTTAGAAGAAGTCCAGTGACTTAAAAATAAATATTCGTTGTCACCCTGTTCTTTCATCCATTCTTTTCCTGGCATGTGCATCCACAGCGTTGTACTTACTGAACCGCAAAGTTTGTAATTAAAAGAATCATACAGTGGCATATTTGAGAATGGTGTTAGTTCACACTGATTTTGATTGTTTTTGACCCAAAAAGAACCAGCGCTACCCATTCATACACTCGTGTTAACTTTTGTAGTGTAAACACAAAAAAGGTTGTCAAAAAATTCACAACTTTTTCAGATATGCAACAGTTTTGAACATCTGAAATGTTTGTTTCCCCAGTGGTGCCACCACCCGGCAATTTGTTGGGCACACTAAGGATGTTTTGAGCGTGGCCTTTTCTGCTGATAACCGCCAGATTGTGTCTGGCTCCCGGGACAAGACCATCAAGCTTTGGAACACTCTTGGAGTCTGCAAGTACACCATCCAGGTGAGTAGCAGTCTCTTTCTGTCAGTGAAACTGGATTTTAGTGGATTTAATTGTTGGGTAATGGCCTTGCATGACTGTAAATTGAGGTTACAACTTGGCAATCCATACTAGTTAAAAAACAAGCTTGTAATTTCTTAAAATACAGTTCACATTGTCAAAAGGAAACATGCAGATCACCCAGTTGTCAGTGGAAACTACCTTTTTTATTTAATTTATCATTCAACAAATGATGCATTTACTGTAGTTGGTTGAACCTGTCTTTTAATTTAGGTTTCCTTTTGCTCATAAGCAGCCAATCAAAACACTTCAATGTAGACACAATGTTACAAACAAATAGATCACCAATTTTGGGTTACCAGAGAATCTTACACTGAGAATATGTATGTACTTTTTCAATTTGCAGGATGAGGGCCATTCTGAGTGGGTGTCCTGCGTTCGCTTCTCCCCTAACAGCAGCAACCCCATCATTGTCTCCTGCGGCTGGGACAAGATGGTCAAGGTATGTTTGTGGCAGACTCCCTTGTTATTAGCTGTTAGGTTTAAAGGTCCAGTGTGTAACATTTTGGAGGATCTGTTGGCAGAAATTGAATATAATATTCATATTTATGTTTTCATTGTGTATAATTACCTGAATATAGGAATTTAGGCCATTTTTATGTACAGACACAGCAGGGTGCTTTCTGTGGGGTCATGTTTCTAGAGTAGCCCAGAACAAAAAACAAACACTGGCTGTAAATGGAGCCTTTTTAACATTGTTTTTCCTGCCACCGTAGTTTCTCCTACACACTCATTCCCAGATTGTCAAATACAGTTCATTGCTATCTCCTACTTCACTGCTAGATGCCACTAAAGCCTACACACTGGTCTTTTAAAACTCCTTTTGATTTCTCTGACAATAATATCATGAATGAAATGGTTTTCCTGTCCAATGATTTAAAAAATCTGGCATGTATTACCTGACTTCACTGATTATTTTTTGTTGAGGGCTCAGCCCATATGGCTTAATAATAATAATGATCATTCTACTACCTTAGGTGTAAAACAGTCTTCTCTCCTTTTGCTTCTAGGTGTGGAACCTGGCCAACTGCAAACTGAAGACCAACCACATTGGCCACACTGGCTTCCTGAACACAGTGACTGTCTCTCCTGATGGCTCCCTGTGTGCATCTGGTGGAAGGGTATGAAATAAATTGTATTCTCTTTGTAGATTGCTACAGAATGTTTTTTTTTTTTTGGTCTTTCCTCATCCATTTTGAGCTCAATTGAAGCACCAGTTTAAGTCTAACTTGCAGGTTTCAGCAGTGATGGAAAACTTAACATGCATCTGTTTAACTGTGATGATAAAGAGGCTGTTTCTGAGTGTTACCTGCACTTAAAAAGGGTCATTGTGTGAAGATGTGTTAAAATCCACAAACTCCCTAGTTGTAAGTGGTTAATTATGTTATATTTATAAATGTGGGTATTCAAGCATATATTTTTCTCTTTGCATCCAGGACGGCCAGGCCATGCTGTGGGATCTGAATGAGGGCAAGCATCTCTACACCCTGGACAGTGGTGACACCATCAATGCTCTCTGCTTCAGCCCCAACCGTTACTGGCTGTGTGCTGCCACTGGCCCCAGCATCAAGATCTGGGTAAGAGACTTCATCCCAAACATCTTTTATAATCAGTATATGGTGCATTAAACCTACAATGCAAAGGGCGGTGATGAAACTTCCAATGCCAACTGTATTCTTTGATGATAAAGAGGCTGTTTCTGAGCTTTAACCTCGACTACTTTGGTCAGTGTGTAAATAAATTTAGATGAATTAATGTCTGTCATTGATCCTTCTGCTACTTCTGAGCTGTTACTGATTGCGCTGCCTCTGGTGTTTTCTTCTTATGCAGGACCTGGAGGGCAAGATCATTGTGGATGAGCTGAGACAGGAAGTGATCAGCACAAACAGCAAAGCTGAACCCCCACAGTGTACTTCCCTGGCATGGTCTGCTGATGGACAGGTACAACAAACTCTACTCTGCAGGGCCTTTCAGTATATGACTAGTTGGTGGTTTTAGTGATTAATCCCCGGTGATTATACCCATTCACTTTTAATTCTGATATCTAATGGTGACAGTCCTGCAAATATGAGGGGAACTAGAAACACTATTTTTAATATTATTGGCCCAACTCTAGGATTATACCTGGACAGAATTAAGAGTAACCTGTGTTTATCTATCCCCCTTTCTTTACAGACCCTGTTTGCTGGCTACACTGACAACCTGATCAGAGTGTGGCAGGTCACCATTGGAACCCGATAAGAGCTTTTCGTTGAAGCAACTTTGAATAAAAAGACTGTTTAAAGAAAACGTGTGTGCCGTCTTGGTTTCAACAGTGTCTTATCAATGATAAGATGTTTATTACGCTAAACATGTTTTTCCTCTTGAATGTCACACAAATTGGTTAACATCAGGGGGCAACAACCATTCATTCCTAACCTCAAGGAAGCAATAATCTCCAATATAAATTATATATTAAAGTTTTATGGGTTTATTAAAAACAAAACAAACTGGATCGAGTGTTAATGTCTGTTTGAATTTAGTCGTCAATTTGTTGGGCACACTAAGGATGTTTTGAGCGTGGCCTTTTCTGCTGATAACCGCCAGATTGTGTCTGGCTCCTGGGACAAGACCATCAAGCTTTGGAACACTCTTGGAGTCTGCAAGTACACCATCCAGGTGAGTAGCAGTCTTTCTGTCAGTGAAACTGGATTTTAGTGGATTTAATTGTTGGGTAATGGCCTTGCATGACTGTAAATTGAAGTAACACTTTCCATACTAGTTAAAAAACAAGCTTGTAATTTCTTAAAATACAGTTCACATTGTCAAAAGGAAACCTGCCGATCACCCAGTTGTCAGTGGAAACTACCTTTTTATTTAATTTATCATTCAACAAATGATGCATTTACTTTAGTTGGTTTGATCCTGTATTTAATTTAGGTTTCCTGTTGCTCATAGGCAGCCAATCAAAACACTTTTAAATGTAGACACAATGTCACAAATAGATCACCAATGTTGGGTTACCAGAGAATCTTACACTGAGAATATGTATGTACTTTTTCAATTTGCAGGATGAGGGCCATTCTGAGTGGGTGTCCTGCGTTCGCTTCTCCCCTAACAGCAGCAACCCCATCATTGTCTCCTGCGGCTGGGACAAGATGGTCAAGGTATGTTTGTGGCAGACTCCCTTGTTGTTAGCTGTTAGATTTAAAGGTCCAGTGTGTAACATTTTGGAGGATCTATTGGCAGAAATTGAATATAATATTCATATTTATATTTTAATTAGTGTATAATTACCTGAATACAGGAATTGTTATGTTACAATTTCTAAGAGAGCCCTTTTTATGTACAGACAGTGCAGATTGTGGGCTCCAGATAGGGCCTTTCATGCTTTGTACTGCCACCGTAGTTTCTCATACACTTTCTCATTCCCAGATTGTCAAATACAGTTCATTGCAATCTCCTACTTCACTGCTAGATGCCACTAAAGCCTACACACTGGTCTTTTAAAACTCCTTTTCATTTTTCTGATGATAATATCATGAATGAAATGGTTTTCCTGTCTAATGTTTTTAAAATCTGGCATGTATTACCTGACTTCACTGATGATTGATTTATTTTTTTGTTGAGGGCTCAGCCCATGTGGCTTAATAATAATGATCATTCTACTACCTTAGGTGTAAAACAGTCTTCTCTCCTTTTGCTTCTAGGTGTGGAACCTGGCCAACTGCAAACTGAAGACCAACCACATTGGCCACACTGGCTTCCTGAACACAGTGACTGTCTCTCCTGATGGCTCCCTGTGTGCATCTGGTGGAAGGGTATGAAATAAATTGTATTCTCTTTGTAGATTGCTACAGAATGTTTTTTTTTTTTTTTTTTTTTTTTTTGGCCTTTCCTCATCCATTCTGAGCTCAATTGAAGCACCAGTTTAAGTCTAACTTGCAGGTTTCAGCATTGATGGAAAACTTAACATGCATCTGTTTAACTGTGATGATAAAGAGGCTGTTTCTGAGTGTTACCTGCACTTAAAAAGGGTCATTGTGTGAAGATGTGTTAAAATCCACAAACTCCCTAGTTGTAAGTGGTTAATTATCATGTTATATATTTATAAATGTGGGTATTCAAGCATATATTTTTCTCTTTGCATCCAGGACAGCCAGGCCATGCTGTGGGATCTGAATGAGGGCAAGCACCTCTACACCCTGGACAGTGGTGACACCATCAATGCTCTCTGCTTCAGCCCCAACCGTTACTGGCTGTGTGCTGCCACTGGCCCCAGCATCAAGATCTGGGTAAGAGACTTCATCCCAAACATCTTTTATAATCAGTATATGGTGCATTAAACCTACAATGCAAAGGGCGGTGATGAAACTTCCAATGCCAACTGTATTCTTTGATGATAAAGAGGCTGTTTCTGAGCTTTAACCCTCGACTACTTTGGTCAGTGTGTAAATAAATTTAGATGAATTAATGTCTGTCATTGATCCTTCTGCTACTTCTGAGCTGTTACTGATTGCGCTGCCTCTGGTGTTTTCTTCTTATGCAGGACCTGGAGGGCAAGATCATTGTGGATGAGCTGAGACAGGAAGTGATCAGCACAAACAGCAAAGCTGAACCCCCACAGTGTACTTCCCTGGCATGGTCTGCTGATGGACAGGTACAACAAACTCTGCTCTGCAGGGCCTTTCAGTATATGACTAGTTGGTGGTTTTAGTGATTAATCCCCGGTGATTATACCCATTCACTTTTAATTCTGATATCTAATGGTGACAGTCCTGCAAATATGAGGGGAACTAGAAACACTATTTTTAATATTATTGGCCCAACTCTAGGATTATACCTGGACAGAATTAAGAGTAACCTGTGTTTATCTATCCCCCTTTCTTTACAGACCCTGTTTGCTGGCTACACTGACAACCTGATCAGAGTGTGGCAGGTCACCATTGGAACCCGATAAGAGCTTTTCGTTGAAGCAACTTTGAATAAAAAGACTGTTTAAAGAAAACGTGTGTGCCGTCTTGGTTTCAACAGTGTCTTATCAATGATAAGATGTTTATTACGCTAAACATGTTTTTCTCTTGAATGTCACACAAATTGGTTAACATCAGGGGGAAACAACCATTCATTCCTAACCTCAAGGAAGCAATAATCCTCAAAATATAAATGATATATAAAAGTTTTAAGGGTTTATTAAAAACAGTTTTGTTAAAACAAGGTTCTTGGTCTCTTCATGTGTTAGCATGTTAATCTGTATTAAAAAACTAGACTGAGTGTTAATGTCTGTTTGAATTTAGACTGTAAATTAATATTGATTTGGGTACAGATCTCACCAGTGTTTTCGTACAGGTTGACCTGCTTCGCTCGCCGTAGACTCCGTGAACGTGGTATCCTAGCAACCCAACCACAGACATTTAAGAACGTGTGTCGTTGGTTACTAACCGCTCTTTTTACAGCAGTTTAAACGATCAACGAGCTACACAAAATGTTTAATGAAACCTCACTCTTACTAACGCTGAACATTTAGTTGACAGAAAGTATCGTAAGTAGCATACCGGGGAAGATGGATCAAACTTCATACCCTCGTATTTATGTGGAGAGAACACTGGCCATTATTAAACCGGATGCCATCCACAGAGCTGAAGAGATTGAGGACATCATCCTGAAATCGGGCTTCACTATCCTGCAGGTTGGTTAAAATACCGGGGAAGCTACAGGATGTGATCGTGTCAGGAAGGGGTTGACTTCTGAGGCAATAGTACAACTTTAATTATCAGATGCTCCTTCTTAAACAAGTTAGGTGTTTAGAGCCTGGCTAATATTTGACAGACGAGTGACAAAGCAAAATCCTCAATAAATGAGTGGAGGAAGATGCAGTAGCTTCCACACAGGTCCACTGCCTGGTACAGTAAAGCAATTAACATCCAGTCATGCTCTTTGACATGTATACATGTTATCTTGTCAGAGGGACATTATAGTAGGGTATTGTATTAAACCCCTCATTATAAAGATGAATGCATGTGTGCCAAACCCCAAACGTACTGGTCTACTCTTACTAGATGAGTCATACACCAAGAGAGCGGTACAGACCTGAATGATTGACCCCTAGAGTTAGGATATATGATTCTGCTTGCATGGTGTGGGTCATAGAGGTATTGGACCTTTATCCTATGATGAAACATTGCTATCCTGACTGGAGTGGTCTCTTCCAGGATGAAAATGCCCCCATCCATAAAAAAGAAATGTGTAATGAGGATGAAAATGATGGTGAATCATATGCTGTGGCCTTCTCAGTCTACAGATCTCAGCCCAGTTAAACACCTATGTGCGATTTTGGACCAACGTCTTAGACAGCGCTCTCTATTATTAAAACACCAAATGAGGGAATACCTCTTGTTCATCTCTCCAGTAGAGTTGTAGAATCAATTCCAAGGCCCTTTGCTGTTGTTCTAGTGGCATGTGGTAGCATGACACCTTATTAAGACACTTTGTGTTGGGTTTTCCTTTAATTTGTCCCCCGTCTGGTTGATATGTAACAAACTGTTCCAACTCCGGAGCGGGCCACCTACAGAAGTTCTCGGATGACTCCTCCATTGTTGGCTGTATCACATATGATAGGGAGGAGGAGTACAGAGACCTGATCCAGAACTTCACTAGATGGTGCGACAGAAAGGTAAACCAAAAAGCTGGTGGGGGACTTCCAGAGCAGCAAGAGGCCCCCCTCCCCAATTGCTATTAGGGGAGAGAAGGTAGAGATGGTGGACACCTACAAGTTCCTGGGGGTGACACTCAACAACAAACTGGACTGGACGGACCACACTAAGGCCCTCTACAGGAAAGGACAGAGCAGGCTGTTCTTTCTGAGGAGGCTCAGGTCCTTCAACGTGTGCACTCGGCTACTACGGATGTTCTACTAGTCTGTAGACTACAGACTGTAGTGGTCAGTGTCATCTTCTCTGCTGTGGTGTGCTGGGGAGGAGGCATTGGGACTAGGGGTGCCAACAAGCTGAGCAAGCTGGTGAGGAAGGCCAGCTCGGTGGTGGGAATGGAGACAGTGTGGAGGCTGTGACTCGGAAGAGGGAGAGAGGGAAGCTGAAAGCCATCATGGACAACCCCTCTCATCCTCTCTACACTGAGCTCAGGCAGCACAGGAGCAGTTTCAGCCACAGACTGACCCAGCCCCGAGCCTCAAAGTGGTTTGGGGGCTCGTTTGTACCATCTTCCATCCGACTCCACAACGTCACAGCACCCAGTACCTCCAACCCCCTAGGGCTGACTAAGACTGGTTTAAACTTACACATGTACAGTTTACTTTTTTAGTCAAGCTGCTTAAAATATTTTGCACACCATTGTACTGCACATTGCATATAGTGTATATATTTTTCATTTATAGTTTTATATTTTCTATTATATTTTGTAAGATTCTTATTTGTGATACTATTGTATGTACACTGTACGCTTTTTTTTATTGCACTATATTCCCCAATGCTGCTGTGTGTAATTTGAATTCCTCTTACATGGGATTAATAAAGGTTTATTTTATCTTAAACTGCAGTACAGAAATGCAGATTATATTTTTGAAGCAATAAAGAAACTGTCCACCAGAGAGCGCTGACAATGGACCTGCTCAGCACATATCATGGGCACACTCCTAATAACTAAGTTTAAGGGACATCAGACTTTGTCAAACCCTTAATTATGAAGATACACTTTGTCCTTAAAAATCCAGCATCAGTTCACATTTCACTCAAAGTGTTCAATTCTTCATTCCCGTGGCAGAAGCGGAAGCTGCAACTAAGTCCGGAGCAATGCAGTGACTTCTACGCAGACCAGTATGGAAAGCTCTTCTTTCCCAGCTTGACTGCCTTCATGAGCTCTGGCCCCATCATTGCTGTGACTCTGGCCCGTGAAAACGCTATTGCCCACTGGAAGTCCATCATAGGGCCTGTCAACAGCATCAAGGCCAGAGAAACTCATCCAGACTGGTAAGTCTGGTCATTTATAAAGTGTTGATTCAGACTGTTGCTTTGTTGTGATGTGTTCTTTAATATAA